TAGACAGGTGTATACGGAATGCTGGTATTATATAAAGTTGTATACAGAACTTGGTTGTTGCAGAATTCCCATATCATTATAGACAGGTGTATACGGAATGCAGGTATTATATAAAGTTGTATACAGAACTTTGTTGTTGCAGAATTCCCATATTATTATGGACAGGTGTATATGGTATGCTGGTATCATATAAAGTTGTATACAGAACTTTGTTGTTGCAGAATTCCAATATTATTATGGACAGGAGTATACGGAATGCTGGTATTATATAAAGTTGTATACAGAACTTGGTTGTTGCAAAATTCCTGTGTTATTATAGACAGGTGTAAAGTGAACCTGGTGTATACAGAACTTGGTTGTTGCAGAATTCCCATATTATCAAAGACAGGTGTATACGGAATGCTGGTGTATACGCAATGCTGGTATTGCTATATGAGGTTAGGAACAAGACACAGTTTATGGGGAATGTCCGTGTTATTATAGAAAGTTGAACCAGAATCTGGTTGTTATCGAATTATGCCATTGATGAAAAACAATGTCTAACATTGACAAATTTGTGTATGGACACTTGCAAATAAAGATCACAACTTTGGCAGACAACATTAGCATTGGCAGAATTGATCCAAAGTATCGGTCAATTGCCAGAGAGTACCGAAAATCAATTCATCAGCATTTATTTCGATTTCTGTGAGATTTGCATGGATATCACATGCCAGTTGGGAGCAGTGAGGTACAAATGATTCAATATTTTACACATGTACCAGATTGTTGCATTGATCAGAGATTTTCAGGACTGTTGGGATCTTCTATTCCATAGAGGACACAACTGTGAAATCCCAACAGCCGTGTGATGACGGAAGTGGCATAAAACATGTCTAGAATACCTGGTACTTTTCTTTCTCGCTAGAGAAAGATTTGCACACGAAACATGATGTGACTGATTTAAAGAGCAACCACTTGAAACTGGTGTAATGTAATGCAAGATTTGTTAAAGGTCATGTTTTGAGATAATGAAAAGGTACCGATAAATATTGTTTGTCTTTATATATCTTTTTTTTTAGGTCACTTTCAAAAACCTTGAAAGCCTCAAGTGATCATGTTGCATTGATTTGTTTACAGCATGGGCAACCAAAATATGAATGTATGACTTATAGGCATTTCAAATGATTTATGTAGAAAATAACACATTTCTCTTGCATTAGAATTGGTCCAGAGCAGCTTGTGGTTGTAAGAAGAAGACTTTATTGATCAGGTGTCAGGGTCAATGACTTCGTGTATTTCATGTCATCGTATCCTGGTTGCATGGATTGATGCTCACAATATCAGTCACTGGTACAGATCATTTAACTGAAATATTACTGAGAGCAACTTTGAACAGCAAACTGAGCTATCACATTATTTTAAAACCCATGCCAGAAAAGAAACCTCTTCCCACTGGAAGCCTTAAGGTGCACAGAAACCTAGTTTAATTTAAGTATTTTAACATTTTTTTATAGCGATAAGAATTGTTTTTCTGGTTGATGGAATGTACAGTATTTTAAGAAACATTTTTGTTTGTTTCAGTTGTTTGATTTGTAAACCAAGTTTATGAAAAGTGTCTTAATTAGAGAGAAGACACCTGCCTAAATTGTGCTTTTGAATTATTGTGAAGAGATCTACCTTTGAAATTTCGACCGACTATCTCATTAATCAGCAAGCAACATGACCAAAAACTTCAGCCTTCAAATACTAATAGTACAACAATGACTTTTCTCTTGAACTTGATTTTCCCCATTTACGGTTTGACTTCAAACTAAATGGTTCTAAATGTTTCAAACATTTTTACTTGAGTTGGTCTAATCTTTTGAACACAAACACCAAGTTAGCCATGATATTTTTTTGTTTACGAGCAGCACATCTGCCATTGCTGTACCTGACTTATGTCCTTTGTGACAAAAACATTAGACCTTTATTTTGAGAATGTTTGTCACAGTCGCCATGAAAGAAGACGTAATGGGTTCCTGTTTGTCATAATGATTTGATGCAGTTGTGTACGCAAACTTTAGTCCTTTTTGACATGGTATCCAGTGAGAAGCTCTTCTTGACATTGTTTATTTCGAGCTTTGTTGTGTAATATATGTTGTTTTCTCTGGCTTGTGTACTGTACCAGAATCGATAATTATAGCCAGTATGTGGTGATGAACATATATCACTTAATGAATTCGTGCAGAGGGTTCCTGCATGTTTCAAATGTTTGTCGTTCCGCATGATTTACATGTCACTCCTGTCTTTCATTTCAAGAGTTTCATGACAAATGTGACTTTTATGTCCATGAAATCTGGTTCACCAAATAACTGACATTACTCACTGGCATTAATGTTTTCGGTTTCCATTTATTAAAAAAATGTTTAAAGTGCTTATACTCAGGCAATGCAAAACCATTCTACACCATTTAAGTGGACTGTTATAAGCAATGTTTTTGAGAAAGTTCGGAGCAATATTCTATGTTTCAAAGACCAAATACTAAATGAAACATGTACAGTTGCTTCCCTTTGGGATGCCAGGAACCAGTGGTCATGAGCTTGAATCCCAGTTTATCCTGATTACGTTTGTAGATTTGTCAGCACAATTTCTATGTATGTTGGCTTCATCTAAGTAGTAAACGTCTAAAAACTTCATCACTTCAGACTTGCCTCACACACCAAGTGGGCAGGTTTTCAAATGATTGAAATACTTTTCAAAGAGGCATTGAACCAAACTTGCTCCTTTCTTCCCCCAAATCCACCAACCCAGAAACCCAACACATCCACCAACCTAACCACACAACCACAACCACCAACACACAACCACACAACCACCAACACAAACACACAACCACCAACACAAACACACAACCACCCACACAACCACACACACACAAACACACAACCACCAACACAAACACACACACACCAACACAAACACAAACACACAACCACCAACACAAACACACAGCCACCAACACAAACACACACACACCAACACAAACACACAAACACCAACGCAAACACACACACACCAACCCACCACTCAGACAGACAGACAGAATCACTGACTCAGTTTGCAATTGCTGCATGCAGTTTGCCTGATAATTCCATGTTCAATTTTTTAATGTCTGTTTTTTTGCCACATCTTTTCAAAATGTGACAATTTCCATTTACATCGAAATCTCAATTACTGGTCACAAGGACGAAAAAAAGCAAATTGGCTTCCTTGTTTAAAAACATGGAGAAAATATACCACTTAGCTGTGGCCTGGAGCCACCTCCTCAACAGCACACTTTGAACATGTAGTTTAGCAAACAAGGCATATTTTGCCATCTAAGCTGATGATGTGCATCTAGTAGGTGATTCGACAGGGCGCTGTGATAATAAGTGTTGCAGTGAGACGTTATCATTATACACTCTTCGGCAAAAGTTGCTCGAGTCCATTACAAGGTAATCTCTTGATTTCACTCTTCGCCTACACACCTCATAAAATGTAGCGCCTTGACAATCTTTATACCCCACTTTGGCGAAATTGCTCATTTTCGTCAGAAATGTCATGGAAATTATGAAAAGTCAGCGTGGAAAGTCGTGTGAGTCATTTCCGGGGCTTAGAGTTAACGGGAAATATAGTGAGGTGGAAAAACAGAAGTGACACATTGTTATGTTCTCAGGAATTGATTCCGATTGTTTATTGATAAGAGGGTGAAACAATGCACTGCAGGTATTGGTTGTAATTGTCACTGGGTAACACATGGGTAATGGATTTCCTCATCTGGCGGACTGCAGAGTTGGATGTCCCAGGTTAGGTGTTTAATGCTAGTTCATTGTTATCAGCTTGGTTTTAATTCACAGGATTTTATCTTGCAATGGTGTCATAAATATATTCACATTGTCTTATGGCGTGGTATAACTGAAATAATGGGCAGAACAGTGTTAAATACTAGTCAGCTATCCCATTCCTTTACATATGGTCACAAGGTTTAGAGCCATGTTGTATATAAAACTGTTTAATGTTGACATTAACTAGGTAGACTGCATTGTTCGAACCCTGAATGTTCCAAGGTTTATATTGCTCTTGCTCTTATTTCACAAAGTGTATCAAAATACTAAGTTCACTTCCCCACATGGGTACAATGTAAGCCCAGTGTCCCCATGCGTGATGTTGCTGGAATATTGCTGGAATATTGCACCAAAGCAGTCAGTCAGTCACAAAGTGATCAAAGTACTAAGTTCACTTTGTGTCGCCCTGTTTCACAAAGTCAGTGCTAATACTGTCGTATCAGTCAATGTTACAGTTTAGAAATGCTACAACGAAAGTTACGAGATCTTTGGCTTACAAGAGCTTTGTGAAATGGGGCCCACATTTCTGTGACTATGTACAATATTAGACCAGATTAGTGTAAAACTTTGTATTCATGCTTTAGAATGGGGAGATGTATCTGCTAAAGTTAGTTACATATAGGTACACTCACTCACTCGGGCGGTGGGGTAGCCTAGTGGTTAAAGCGTTGGCTCTTCACGCCGAAGACCCGGGTTCGATTCCCCACATGGGCACAATGTGTGAAGCCCCTTTCTGATGTCCCCCACCGTGATATTGCTGGAATATTGCTAAAAGCGGTGTAAAACTAAACTCAGTCAGTCACTCACTCACTCACTCACTCACTCACTCACTCACTCACTCACTCACTCACTCACTCAGGGAGACATGCAGGGACAGTGGGGTAGCCTTGTGGTTAAAGTAGTCACTCGTGACACAGAAGACCTGGGTTCGATTCCCCACATGCATACTGTGTGTGAAGCCCATTTCTGGTTCCCATGCTGTGATATTGCTAGAAGTGCCATAAAACTATACTCACTCGCTCACTTTAACGCTTTCAGTAATATATTTATGTATTTTTCCTTTGGAGTGATTTCAATTTTCATTCGATTCATTTGGCCAGTTTGGTTTTGTGTGTTATATTGTTATATCTAAACAATGAATTATATTCCTTGCAGTGTTTGCTGTCAGAGTTGGGGCATTGGGACTTCAATGTATTCAGCCTGGACACATTGTCAGCGGGTAAGTACACATTAGGATGTCACAAGACATACTGACCACCATGTTTCTGGAGAGCAGTGATAGCAATAAAGGACAGATTGTGAGCATCTGTTCAGACTGAGAAGACCGCCTCCGTGGTGTAGTGGTTAGAGCGTCCGCCCGGAGAGCGGAAGGTTGCGGGTTTGATTCCCGACCGCGTCATACAAAAATATGTTAAAATATGGTACTTGTTGGTCCCTGCCTGGCGCTCAGCATTAATGGGTACAACAAGGACTGGTCGGCTCGGAGTCAGTATAATGTGTCTGAGTGGGGTATTCATGCTTTACTGCGGCATGGTATCTCAGTGTGCTAGCACTATAAAACCAGCTTCAGTCTGGGCTAGTACAAGCAGCCGCACATACACATACACACGCATGCTCGTCGTCATATGAGCGAAATATTCTCAAGCACGACGTAAAACCCAATTTCACCTCAGACTGAGAACATAATGGAGACTTAGATATTAAGGCTTAATGTATGGCACTTACAACTATCTTAGCGCTAAGAGACCTTCGAAAACCTAGGCCCTGGTTCTTAGTGCTGTGACTAATGTTCTTTGCATAGACTTGTGATAGCTCTGGTGCTTAGGTCATTTTACTGAAATGGCAAACATAAAATAAGTGTAGATACCAGATCCCTGACACAGCAGTAGTGTAGACACCAGATCCCAGACACAACAGTAGTGTAGACACCAGACCCCTGACACAACAGTAGTGTAGACACCAGACCCCTGACACAACAGTAGTGTAGACACCAGATCCCTGACACAAGAGGTGTAGACACCTGATCACTGACACAACAGTAGTGAAGACACCAGACCCCTAACACAACAGTAGTGTAGACACCAGACCCCTGACACAACAGAGGTGTAGACACCTGATCACTGACACAACAGTAGTGTAGACACCAGATCCCTGACACAACAGTAGTGTAGACACCAGATCCCTGACACAACAGAGGTGTAGACACCAGATCCCTGACACAACAGAGGTGTAGACACCAGACCCCTGACACAACAGAGGTGTAGACACCTGATCCCTGACACAACAGTAGTGTAGACACCAGATCCCTGACACAACAGAGGTGTAGACACCTGACCACTGACACAACAGTAGTGTAGACACCTGATCCCTGACACAACAGAGGTGTAGACACCAGATCCCTGACACAACAGAGGTGTAGACACCTGATCCCTGACACAACAGTAGTGAGACATCAGATCCCTGACACAACAGTAGTGTAGACACCAGACCCCTGACACAACAGTAGTGTAGACACCAGACCCCTGATACAACAGAGGTGTAGACACCAGACCCCTGACACAACAGAGGTGTAGACACCTGATCCCTGACACAACAGTAGTGTAGACACCAGACCCCTGACACAGCAGTAGTGTAGACACCAGACCCCTGACACAGCAGTAGTGTAGACACCAGACCCCTGACACAACAGTAGTGTAGACACCAGATCCCTGACACAACAGTAGTGTAGACACCAGATCCCTGACACAACAGATCCCCTGACACAACAGTAGTGTAGACACCAGATCCCTGACACAACAGTAGTGTAGACACCAGATCCCTGACACAACAGTAGTGTAGACACCTGATCCTTGACACAACAGTAGTGTAGACACCAGACCCCTGACACAACAGTAGTGTAGACACCAGACCCCTGACACAACAGTAGTGTAGACACAAGATCCCTGACACAACAGTAGTGTAGACACCAGATCCCTGACACAACAGTAGTGTAGACACCAGACCCCTGACTCTACAGTAGAGTAGACACCAGATCCCTGACACAACAGTAGTGTAGACACCAGATCCCTGACACAACAGTAGTGTAGACACCAGATCCCTGACACAACAGTAGTGAAGACACCAGATCCCTGACACAACAGTAGTGTAGACACTAGATCCCTGACACAACAGAGGTGTAGACACCTGATCCCTGACACAACAGAAGTGTAGACACCAGATCCCTGGCACAACAGTAGTGTAGACACCAGATCCCTGGCACAACAGTAGTGTAGACACCAGATCCCTGGCACAACAGTAGTGTAGACACCAGATCCCTGACACAACAGTAGTGTAGACACCAGATCCCTGACACAACAGTAGTGTAGACACCAGATCCCTGACACAACAGTAGTGTAGACGCCAGACCCCTGACAGAACAGTAGTGATGCAAGATCCCTTACACTCCAATAATCCAAAGTGGTATCACATGCAGTAGCAGATCAATAGTAGCTGCTCACATGTGGTAGTATATCCAAGAACTGTGTAGCCAGACTGAGTCGGATGATTCTCACAGAGTGCCGTAAACTCATTATTGCTCTAGATTGTGTTAAACACGACTTGCATATAATTGTGTTGAGCACAACTTGCATGTAATAGTATTAAATACATATTGCATGTTTTTGTGTTAAACACAACTGGCTTATAATGGTGCACATACTTTTGGTTTGCATGCAAGTCTTGCATATATGACATGTCTTCAAATCATCAGTCTTTGTTACATCATAACCATAGCATTACTGTAATTATGTATAATTCTTTCCTCATGTTTATTCAGCTAGTCTTGTAGATGTGTGTCACCATCTTTTATGGGCAGAGTGTATACATCTAGAGGACACCGCCATACTTAGTAAAACAGACATGTGCCAGTTATATGACAGTCATTATGTAACTAGAAATAATAACCCCTCCAGGCTCTTTTATATAGACATTCTTCGCTGTTGTTTACGTGTCGGAAGTACACCGTTAAAATACCAACATCCTCATCAGTAAAACACTCTTGTATAAGTGTTTTTTATTGCTTCTTTATCGCAGGCCAGGGAGACTTATCAGCTTAGCGAGCATACGTTTCCACACACATAAAAAAGTGGCTGCCCATATATTTGATAATTTTTTGCCCCAAACCTTTTATTTATTCCATAGATAGAAATAGTTTTTGGAATTTATGAAGTTGAAACAAAGGTCTTTGTCAAAAACTGAGGCAATATTTCAAATTGGTTAAAAAGAGAAATATTATTAATAATGAGTTTCTTTCTCCTGAAAATGAACGTATCATGTTTTTGTAATGTCTACATGATTGTCTTTTGTTGCTTTGCAGGTCGATCTCTCTTCCATATTGCATTCCAACTTTTCCAAAATTATGATCTCATATCGGTCTTCCATCTAGATGTTCTCAAGTTAATGAGGTGTTTTAGTAAGTATTGTTTTCTTTGAATGCTGCATAAAAATATGCATTAGGAATATTGCCACCATAATGCTGAAAACCCTGTTGGATTCTGGGCCAAATATATCTACTCGTAATGTCCCTGCTGCTTATTGTAAGAGGTGACTGACGGGAAGAAGATGACTACCAGGTGTAACTTGTGTGTTCCATTGTGGGACAGTGGGTACAAGGTGTGAAGCCCATTTCTGGTGTCCCCAAACATGATATTGCTAAAAGTGGCGTAAACCTATGCTCACTCACTCACTTTGTGGGACAGTGGGTACAAGGTGTGAAGCCCATTTCTGGTGTCCCCGCCATGATAATGCTAAAAGTGGCGTAAACCTATGCTCACTCACTCACTTTGTGGGACAGTGGGTACAAGGTGTGAAGCCCATTTCTGGTGTCCCCCGCCATGATATTGCTGGAATATTGCTAAAAGTGGCGTAAACCTATGCTCACTCACTCACTTTGTGGGACAGTGGGTACAAGGTGTGAAGCCCATTTCTGGTGTCCCCGCCATGATAATGCTAAAAGTGGCGTAAACCTATGCTCACTCACTCACTTTGTGGGACAGTGGGTACAAGGTATGAAGCCCATTTCTGGTGTCCCCCATGATAATGCTAAAAGTGGCGTAAACCTATGCTCACTCACTCACTTTGTGGGACAGTGGGTACAAGGTATGAAGCCCATTTCTGGTGTCCCCGCCATGATATTGCTGGAATATTGCTAAAAGTGGCGTAAACCTATGCTCACTCACTCACTTTGTGGGACAGTGGGTACAAGGTGTGAAGCCCATTTCTGGTGTCCCCGCCATGATAATGCTAAAAGTGGCGTAAACCTATGCTCACTCACTCACTTTGTGGGACAGTGGGTACAAGGTATGAAGCCCATTTCTGGTGTCCCCGCCATGATAATGCTAAAAGTGGCGTAAACCTATGCTCACTCACTCACTTTGTGGGACAGTGGGTACAAGGTATGAAGCCCATTTCTGGTGTCCCCCGCCATGATATTGCTGGAATATTGCTAAAAGTGGCGTAAACCTATGCTCACTCACTCACTTTGTGGGACAGTGGGTACAAGGTGTGAAGCCCATTTCTGGTGTCCCCGCCATGATAATGCTAAAAGTGGCGTAAACCTATGCTCACTCACTCACTTTGTGGGACAGTGGGTACAAGGTATGAAGCCCATTTCTGGTGTCCCCAAACATGATAATGCTAAAAGTGGCGTAAACCTATGCTCACTCACTCACTTTGTGGGACAGTGGGTACAAGGTATGAAGCCCATTTCTGGTGTCCCCGCCATGATAATGCTGGAATATTGCTAAAAGTGGCGTAAACCTATGCTCACTCACTCACTTTGTGGGACAGTGGGTACAAGGTGTGAAGCCCATTTCTGGTGTCCCCGCCATGATAATGCTGGAATATTGCTAAAAGTGGCGTAAACCTATGCTCACTTACTCACTTTGTGGGACAGTGACATGCATCAGCTATTGGTGTGCCAGGTTCAGGGAAGATTGTTTCCACACCGCAATGTTGAAGCTGGAATATTGCTGACTTTGGCTTCAAACAATAAGGGGATACAACTTGTAGGGGCTTCAAAATAAGGGGAGATAAGTGAAACTGGTTTCCAATTATTGTAAAACAACAAGTTGCAATCTCAGGAACCTGAAAAACATAATTTGTATGCCTTTTATATGAATAATTTTATATCTTTAAAAAAGTGAACCTTGTATTTATATTATTTCTGTTCCAGTGCCCCCAAAATATGCACATGTCACCAAATTGATATGAATATAAAAGCAGTTATTGCAGAGAGCTGCATTGACTCAATATTAATTTTGTTCATTGTACATTGGTCCTATATGATTGATGGTGTATGTTTCAGCATTACTAGAAAGTGGTTACCATGACAACAATTCCTACCACAATGCTGTTCATGCAGCAGATGTGACACAGGCTATGCACTGCTTCCTACAAGAACCCAAAGTAAGCCCACACCCCCCTTTCAGTAATCAGTGGCCTCATATACTAGACAAAATAAGATAAGGATCATGAATGATTTGGGCATATTTTTATGAAATTGTGTATCCAGGCTTCACTAAAAATATTTCCATTCCAAATTATTCATAATACCTTATCTAATTAATATACTTACTTGTTTCTGTAACCAGTTTTGATTATGTTAATAGTTCCAGATAATATGAACCAACTTGATATGGACCTAATTGTTTTGAATTCTTCATATTCTATGCTGCAAGGTAATATATAAGCTACTTGTGGCTGCGTTTTGAGGAGGACCGCCTCCGTGGTGTAGTGGTTAGAGCGTCCACCCGGAGAGACCGGAAGGTCACGGGTTTGATAAAGACGTTAAAATATGGTACTTGTTGGTCCCAGCCTGGCGCTCAGCATTAATAGGTACATCAAGGACTGGTCGGCTCGGAGTCAGTATAATGTGTCTGAGTGGGGTATTCATGCTTAACTGCGGCATGGTATCTCAGTGGGCTAGCACTATAAAACCAGCTTCAGTCTGGGCTAGTACAAGCAGCCGCACATACACATAAACACGCATGCACGTCGTCATATGAGCGAAATATTCACAAGCACGACGTTAAACCCAATTTCACCTCACCTCACCTCACCTCTTTTTGAGGAGTTAAATAATGTTCATATAAACGGGGAAAAAAGAACATATTGTTTCATCAATTTATACCTAACTATCCATAATTTTTAGCATATTGCCCATCTTAATTAAATTGAGTGTTAACTAACTAGAGACTCATTTCAACAGCATAAGACATATTTCCATGACAAAAGAACCTGAATTTATCTGACTCCCAAGATAGATTATGATAAGATGATTCGTGTATTAAATGGTTTACAACTTTTGAATTTTAAATGAACAGATAACAAATATTAATTGACAAAATATATACCCTCCACAATTCACTTTTCAGGGGATATGCAAAGTTTGAAGCTAAGGGGGTTGATATATTCCACTGGTATTTTCATTTAGGATTTTCATGCCCAATTTTCAATATCAGTGTTATGACAAGCATCCCTTAACTATATTGCTTACTTTAAACATGGTGACACCTTGTCTTAATTTATGAACAACCTGTATCTCTAATTACAGTAGCTTTTGCTGAAAATCGTGTCTCAGTTTATTTTCTGTTTCCTGAAAAAAAATAGTTAAATCTCCAGTCTGCATCTTCAATTGCAAGCATTATGGACTAACTTGGTAACATGTTTGGAATTTGAGGAGATGTTGTCTTGGCTTTGCTATATTTGTTTCAACTGAACAAAGTTGACAAAGACAAGCCTAAGGTATCGGATTTATAGCAACACTAAAGGGATAGTTCAAAGTGCTATTTCCAGCAGCCAAGCAGCTTCTCTTCAACAAGACCTATTATCAGTTCTATCTATAGAAGCAGGAGATTTGTATAAATATAATATTGCACTGGCTTGACTCATGCAATCAAAATAAATAAGTCACAGAAATCAAAATAGCCAATTACTACAGGTTATCATGTGAAGAGTTTTCTGTGAGGTCTTTTTTCAATAATTAACTTGCCCTTGCATGTGTTTATGACAGGTGGGACTGGATGCCTGGTATCATCCTTGTGTAATAGTGATTCATAACCACATGCTTTTGATATACAGTGGAATCGTGAAAAAATGTCATGAGTGTGAAAAGTGTTTTATTGCATACATTTATTGTTTTTAATGTTTTAGGTACTGAAGTGGCCCAAATTGTTATGAACAGTTCAAATGTTATCCTTTAAAAACATCATGTCTTCATCCTTTGTGAGGTTATGCAAGAGCAAAAACTGTACAAAACAATGTCAGGGATCATGATTTGGGAGATGGGACTGTGTGTGTGTGTTTTCAAGACAATGTTCACTACAGAAATATTCCCTGAAAATATGTGATCCAAGTTGTTCAATATACATCTCACTAATTGGTTCACTGAGGGTCATGGGACCGCCTCCGTGGTGTAGTGGTTAGAGCGTCCGCCCGGAGAGCGGAAGGTCGCGGGTTCGATCCCCGACCGCGTCATACCAAAAGACGTTAAAATATGGTATTTGTTGGTCCCTGCCTGGCGCTCAGCATTAATGGGTACAATAAGGACTGGTCGGCTCGGAGTCAGTATAATGTGTCTGAGTGGGGTATTCATGCTTCACTGCGGCATGGTATCTCAGTGGGCTAGCACTATAAAACCAGCTTCAGTCTGGGCTAGTACAAGCAGCCGCACATACACATACACACGCATGCACGTCGTCATATGAGCGAAATATTCTCAAGCACGACGTTAAACCCATTTTCACCTCACCTCACCTCACCTCACTGAGGGTCATGTGAAACAGGAGCCTTGGTCCTGACATATAACACTAGAAAGAGGTAAAAGATATAAGGAAACTCAAGCATCTCAAGTTTTAATGAATGTTCTTACTTATAAGATATCCTTGACCTTTCAGCTTCGAAACTGTGTGACTTCTCTGGAGGTAATGGTAGCCTTCATTGGATCAATGTCACATGACTTGGATCACCCAGGTGTCAATAACACCTTCCTCATCGCCACAGCCAATCATCTTGCTACATTGTATAATGTAAGTTCCCCTTTTCACCGAAGAAATTCACCTTGCAACATTGCAGTATTAAAATCTTTGGAAGTACCACGGCAACTCATCTTTGTGTATTATTTACAGAATTCAGTATTGATTTTACATGGCATTCCATCTAAACTGAAGTTTCTAGTGGAAGCCATGGTGGCTGATTTGGTTAGATACCTGACTCTGATAATGTGGGTTCGAATCACAGATGGGACTCAACCCAACAATATTACCAGACTCTGTACTTTACTGAGAAAGTGTAATCCCAAATGTAACGTGTTAAACTGAAAATTTCATAACTCTTGTGTTACATATGCTTTATAAGAGTGATGGAGATACTGAAAAACTGCCATGTGCACCAATCATTTTACAGACTTGACCAACAATGAAAGTTATTTTCTTTTTTTAAATTTCTATTTGAACAGATAGCAGCAATAGTATTTTGGTTTCTTTTCAGAACTCATCAGTGTTGGAGAACCATCACTGGAGGTCTGCAGTTGGAGTCTTGCAGGAGACCAGAGTGTTTGACCATCTACCCAGGGATCAGTGGTCAGTGTATATTGCATGCTGGGATTGTAATAGCTCCATTCACTACAGTATATTGATTACACTTCCACAGTCAGTATTCATTCAGGGCATTAGTGGCCCTGTCATTTATACACTGTATTGTACTGTGCAAAGTTTCACCATTAGGGTTTGCAGAAACCTGATAGTGGTTCAAATCCAAGATTTGACCAGGTTATGTCTCTTGTGCTTGTAGGGTGCATGACGCGGTAATTATGGTACCATCTGAGATTTCCTCCCACATCAAGCCTACACACCTTGTTGTAACATTTGAAATAATGTGGCATTGACCTCAACTCACACATTAACACTAAAACGAGTGAAGATCCGGGTCTTCAGCAACCTATGCTTGTTGTAAGGCGCGACTAACGACACTGGGTGGTCAGGCTCACTGACTTGGTTGACACATGTCATGTAGATGCTCATGCTGTTGATCACTGGATTATCTGGTCCAGACTAGATTATTTACCATATGGCTGGAATATTGCTAAGCTAAACAACAAACAAACATGCAAACATACCAAACACTCATTCACCATTTTTCCGTTCCTTTATCAAAGTGTGAGGAATGGCAAAAATTGATGTGAATTCAGGAAAATATCATTGTTCTTGCTTGTTGGCATTCCAAAGAATTTTTTAGGCCTTTGAGTTGCCAATAGTTTATACTACTAGACTTCTCACATTGGTTGAATGTTAAGCATTGTTTGCGATACAAAATAAATACTTTCAAAGTTACTTGTGGTTAAGGGGACATAACTCTTGTAACATTGTCATTTTCCTTTCTACAATTCTTGTCCTTTTCAACTAATGTTTAACAATGCTTTGAATACATGACATGTTTAATGGATAATGACTTCTTTTATTCTGTATCCCAATGTTTCAGAGCTAGTTATCCATAAAATGTGTCATGTATTCATGTTTGGCCAATTTCTAAATGCCCTTCAAGAACAACCATGTTCTGGTCATCAGCAGTGTTTAACAACAGGATGTATAAACATTTAATCTGCATGGTCGTGTTTCAGGGATGATGTCGTGAAGCAGATCAAGTCACTGATTTTGGCAACGGATATCACACGCCAACAGGAATTCCTTCTTAAATTTAGAGTGAGTGGAAGAATGACAGAACTTTGTAATTTCCACATACTTGTCCAGATTGCCAGTTTATGTGGGTATTGGAGGGTGCACCCTGGCTGATTTGTTATTTGTTTGGGTATAAAGCAAATCAGTGGGTACAACATGAATTATGATTTACATGAAGGCAATATTAAATACTGTAGCTTTCCCCTGTGTCTTTGTGAAGATTTTGCATAATACGATGATATTATTTGTTATTTAAGTTGTTGGTATTTTTCAGCGGCGTCTAGATAATGAAGAATTTGACTATGTAAATAACAGCGATGACAGACATTTCATTTTACAAGTAAGTAGTAGACTGCCCATAATTTTTTTCACTAATGTTAAAACTTCTAAAATGCATCCTCGACATATTATAGCCCACATATTCTGGAACAAGAATTGATTCAGTATCCTTTTCCTTTAATGTGGGACCGTCTTGGTTAGAGCATCTGCCGGAGAGTGGAAGGTCGCGGGTTCCATTCCCCGCCGTGTCATACCAAAAGATGTTAAAATATGGTACTTGTTGGTCCCTGCCTGGCGCTCGGCATTAATGGGTACAACGAGGACTGGTCGGCTCGGGAGTCAGTATAATGTGTCTGAGTGGGATATTCATGCTTCACTGCGGCATGGTATCTCAGTGGGCTAGCACTATAAACCAGCTTAAGTCTGGGCTAGTACAAGCAGCCACACATACACACACATGCACGTCGTCATATGAGCGAAATATTCTTAAGTTAGACGTTAAACCCCATTTCACTTCACCTCCTTTAATGTGGTTTAAAAACACACTTTGCGTAAATCTGCAACTTGGATTTCCTAATTATTTTATCAGTTTTCATGTTTATACCCCCATACACAATTTTTGTTGTTGAAGTCAGTTCTTAAGTATTTGTTGATGGAAAGAAGGAGGTGTACATATTTTCGCCATGGTTCCAGATTGCCCTAAAGTGTGCAGACATCTGCAACCCTTGTCGGATGTGGTCTCTCAGCAAAGTGTGGAGTGAGAAGGTGGTAGAGGAATTCTTTAATCAAGGTTAGAATGTTCATCCAAAGTTCAGTGCAACATGAAGTTGTTGAATTACAGATCCTGGAGCCGAAGTCTGCCACATACTAAAAGGTGTCGTGCCGGGAAGGCTAAAATATATATTTTGGATGTCCCGAGAAAGCTAATTTTCCAGGGGTAGGGGAGTACTGCCAAGGCTAAAGATACGGTGAATAATTACCGTCAAGCATAATCCATGTTGGGAGTAGAGATACTGACATGCATTGAAAACGCAAAACCCATTTTAGCAATTTCTAACAAAGTTTTATGAAGCAATTTCATTTATCACACGAAAAAGTAGTGATGTGAGGTTGCCGAATAAAACCATATGCACATGTGAAAAACGTCGGAGAAACGTCGCGATTTTAGCCTTCCCAGCCATGAACCTACCAAAACATGTTGAAAGAATGTACTTGTTATCCGATGCTTGGTATTATAACGACTAGACGGCTTGAAGTGGGCAGATTTTGGGGATAGGGTAAACAGTATCTCAGTGGACTGTCAAACCGACAGACATCTGGACCAGTACAAGCAGACACAGATGCCTGGGCATACACAGCGCTATATATGATCAGTATTCTAATGATGCTAGTCTGTGGATAGTATAAGCAACATGCTGGAAAGAGCACGTAAGATGACGATGTTAAGCCCCATTTCGAGCCGAATTTTCTTAAATTGAGTAATACCTAAGTTAACCATGGAATTAAGGATTATCTGTATCTAGTGCATGATGAAAGTTTCTCAGATATAGATGTGAGTCTTCCACCATTCATGAGAGGCAAATAATCTGTAATTTTGTGTGAACAAGGTTATTCTTTATCTGTTGTGCCAGAGATAGCGTTTGTAACACTTGTGATTGTACTCTGTGCAGGTGACACAGAGAAAGCTCTACACATCCCAGTCACTCCATTATGCAACAGGAAGTCGAACACTGTGGCCAAGATACAAGCAGGTAATGAAGGACATGCATGGAGATGAGTACCTCTGTATGTGGGGGATTCTTGTTTCTATGGGGCCGTGGGGTAGCCTAGTGGTTAAAGCATTCGCTCGTCATGCCGAAGACCGATTGATTGTACTGTTAGGGTGGGTGGTGGTTAGGTAGCGTACATGAGTACAATGTGTGAAGCCAATTTCTGGTGTCCCCTGTTCTGATATTGCTGGAATATTGCTGGAACCATACTCACTCACTACATACTGTTGGGCGGTAGGGTAGCCTAATGGTGAAAGCGTTAGCTTGTCACGCCGAAAACCCAGGTTCGATTCCCCACATTGGTACAATGTGTGAAGCCCATTTCTGGTGTCCCCCCCCCGCCATGATGTTGCTGGAATATTGCTAAAAGTGGCGTAAAACCAAACTCAGTCAGTCAGTCACTACATACTGTTAGAAACAAAATATAATCCTGTGTGTAACATCTATTTCCCATGTTTACAGGCTTCATGGAGTTTGTGGTCACTCCCCTGTTCATGGAGTGGTATCGGTTCATGCCATCCGATTTGAGTCGCAGGCTGCTGGACAATATAGCCAAGAACAAGATTCGCTGGAAGAAGATTATTGATGAGGAAGCTCTTCAGGTTCACGAGTCCGACAGCTCTTCTTCTAAAAACGAACATTCAAATGACGACCCAGATGACAGTGATGAAGAGGAAGAGGAGGTTGAAGATGATGTATGTAGCGAAGAAAATGATGTTGTGGAGAACGACATCAACCTTGCTTATCACTATGACTCTGAGCAGATGAGTGAAAGTGGGCGGAGTCTGTCGCCGGTGTCGGAGGATGTTAATGTGATCATCGTTCCAGGAAGCAGGAGACACAGTATGCCTCCTGTGTTCATTCGAAGGGATCTCAATTTCTATTTGGGAATTCGGAGGGACAGCGGACCTAAAGTTCCCCTTCTCCGACGACAGAGTTTGCCAACTACAACGCTTTTCAAATCTACCTCGGCAGATATAACTGTTTCCCCTGCTGTTGTGAAGGAAGTGCGGAGTCTTTCGATGGAAGCACTCATGTCTCGGCCGAAAATCTCAAATCTCAGTCCGAGCATTGAAGCCAGTAGACTGGCAAGTGGGTTAGAATACTTGAACTTTGTGCCATTGAAAAATCAAACTTTGGTGCTTCAGAGAGGGAGTATAACTAAATTTACCTCTTCCCAACGAACGATCAATTCCTTGTCAGATATTACATTCCAGTCAAACCGCCCTCTGGATCGTGATGATTTGAGACTGTACTCTGACTCACTAAAAAATGACAGAAACCTTCCAAATGTTGGTCTTGCATCGAGCTGGCCGACAATATCGCCAAAGGCTAAGATAATCAGTAAGGGTATTCCAGGAGTGAAGCTTCAAACAAACATTTCATTTCTTGCTCAAAAGGAGAATGAACCAAGGGGAGACAACTGCGATGTGATTGCTGACAATCCACCAATCTGTCTTTCAGAGAAACAGCGTGATGCAGCTCCAGGCAGGCCTCATTAAGTCAAACATTTCCATGTCGTTTCTCATCTGTTTGTCAGTTTTGCACCATTATGGTTGTCAGTGAACTTAATAGAATTAATCATACCGTTCTTATGGGTATGCTCCAACTTTTTTACAACACATCCCTCAATGAATGTGTATATGCTGTTGCTAGGGGTGCTTTGATAATCCATACAAAGATGGATGTTTTATCTTTTATAAGTATTAGTTATTGTTTTGCATAAACAAACATCGTCTCGACATTTCAGGTGAAGCAATGCAATTGGTAGTGTCATCCGTCTCTACACGTAGCTGCTACGGTATTGCTATACATAGTACCATTTCTATATTTTCTGAACCGTTAATGCCAGTGTTGTACCAAAGTCATGACATCTTGAAGTTATGATATACTGAAATTGTATAGAATTTACACATGGTAGGATATATGCCGTATTACATACCTGCTCAGATAACTAACCCCCCATACAATATTTACACATCCCTGGAAGTATTGTTTATCATGCTGTACTAAGATGGAAAGTTTACGTGAATGTTCAGATTTTCTGTAATCACATTGTGAATTGTGTTGAACAGATGCAAACTACACATGCCAAAATGTTCTGGAAATAGCATGTAAGCAAATATTTTTTTGGGTCAACATTTAGTTCCCTAATTACAGTATTTTGTATTTAATGGTGAAAATATTCATGGTGTTTTTCAACATTTTGAATTCAATTTTGTTCAGTTTAATTAAAGGAAAGTGTGTGGGAACTGATCTACTGGTATTTAATACAGCAAGAAGCAGAATGAGGTTATTGATGACTTAAAAGCAACTACATATGTAAGGGAATGTGCATGTAAAAATTGAAGCTAAAAACAAGTAGATCACAGACTGGTCAGAGAGGTTCCAGATATATTTCTTTCAACTGGTGTGTCACGGGCACTTATTGTGGCAAGTATGGTATGTTTTTGTCCCAAGGGAGATTCTTGGCTTAGGGTTTAATCATTGTGAAACAAGAACATCGATCCACATTAAAGTAAAAAAAACATTATAGATTCTCAGGCACAGAAACATCAGGAACTGAAATCATTTTCATTTTATTTCAAAAGACATTGTTTAGTCAATTGGTTTGCTTTTTTGTGTCAGTTAATGGTCTTTAATTCTGTATATATATATCACTTCTGGTATAAGCCACATGACATCACTTGGTTGAAAATGGTGATGGTATCTACACCGAAACATTGCACTCGCTGTAATAGTTGTATATTCAAAAGAATTATCTCCCTTGGTTGTCATTCAACTTCGAAATACAGTTCGAAAAAATGTTGGTCATGATTTTATTTTTATGCCCTTAAATGTAAACCTGTATCATGATACAGGTCTGTAAATGATAATGTAAGTTTGGAAGAGGCATGACCTGTAATGAAAAATGGTATATCATGTGTTTTGGGGGTTTTCTTAGAATTTTAAATTATTTGTTAAAGTCTGGGTAAACACTCTCAATGACTTCACTTGAAGTTGTTTTCATATTATGTGATTGTTTTTATATACTGAATCCCTAATTCAGTAATTTGGGCAAGTCTCGAGTAAAGTTTACTCTGAATTAATTGACCTGAACGTGTGTATTTCATGTTCGTTTGAAAAAGTTCACGACTGTTTGCTGAATATAAAGATTTTGATGTTTTCAGTGTTGTAAGAAAAATATCCTTAAGTAAAAAAAGTGTATTGAACTATGCAAATGGTGTCTTTGTAGAGCTGTGAAGTTATCATTGCGTTACTGACCAGTATGTTATTAATCTATTACTACAGTCCAGCATGCCAACCCTCGTCAGACATCACATATATTCATTCCGCACTGGTTCAGGATGCTCTGGCCATGCGTCAGTAAAGGGGATACAGTGTCCAGTAATCCAGTATATATTTAACAAATCATGAGTAAATTGTGAAGATATTGTCCTGAGGAATGTTGGATAATTTATGGCTTGTTCATCTGGAACCGGCATTATCATCATGTTCGAGACTTAGATCCTTGTTTTGTCTCTGTCTATGCTTGTGCGTTTCAATATGTTTATGGTTAAGACTAGTCAAAGTTCTAACTATCAGTATGTTTAATGTAAAATTATGTGTATTGCTGAGAGATCATGCTCCTAACAACATTTCTGTCTGTTGAAAAGTTCCAAGGAATACTTAATTGTACAGCATACAGAAGTCTGATAGGGTCTGTTGTAGTGGTACGACTTACATAACCCTTACCACTGTGGAAGTGCTATAGTATAAGGGATCTGAAGGTTACAGGATTCTGTTGAGATGGAATTGAGGTTCTTGTCAAGGACTCGAGTGTCCAACCATGGAAGATAAGTGAGAGAAACTGTACAGTGTGTGAACCATGTGGCATATTACCATTGAAAGATGGTAATGGAGTCCTGGTAGGGCTGTCGACATGTGTACTCAACTCCAATTCTTTTCTGCCTGATGCACACTGTGATATCAGTATGTTTTTGAAATGGAGCCCAAGGCACCATGTTTATGTACTGCCAGTATGATAGAAGTCCAACAACTGCTTCTGGAAGAATAATGCTGGATGTTGTAAAATGTGATCTTTGCAAAGTTATCTCCCTTTCCCACAAAGCTGATATGAATTTGTGACTTCAGAAACTTTGCTTTTCTGCTTGTCCAAACCAGAAAGGACATGGACTCTGTCCCATCTAAGACATGATCCCAACAGCTAATGCTGGATAATGTAAGTTACCTCCCTTTCACCTTTTTAATTTAAATTTGTGACTTCAGAAAACTGCCATAAACTGCATGTCCCAACTTGACAGACCAGGGTCTCTGTCCCATCCAAGCCATGGTCCCACAGGGTGATTATAGTGCTATGTGTACAAGGCAATGTTTAAGTGCTTGTGCGGACAAGACGTGAGCAGAATCATCATATTTTAGATATGATCAATATGTTATGTTTTATTGTAATAAAGAATGAATTGATATTTTCTTCGCCAACATGCACCACCTGATTTGTTGTTTGTTTAATAGGTTATGTTAATAATGATGTAATACAAATGTATTTCAGTCTCGGCAGACCCTCAGTATCATGTTAACAGTATCTTACATGGCGAGTGTGCTTGACATACTTTTCAACAAGGTGCTTATTGTATTCATTTCACTTGGGGAACATGTGTTTCAGTGAACTGTTTCAAAGGAATTGGGTTAAATAAAGAGGTTTACAAATAAGCAGAATTGACCAATCGAAATGTAAATTATGTTTTTGTATGAAAAACAGAATTAGAAACTTTAACTAGGATGTTTAGAATTTTAAGCATAATATCACCTAATTGTCCTAAATCTATTGTATTTAATCTGCTGTTTATAATATATTCAGTGTAATTGTTTGGATGACCTCATCTGTAAGCTGTTTGACTGTAATAATATGCAGTTGATCATGCTTGGGTTTTCTTACTTACAAAAGTGAATTCTTTCAAATGTTGAACTTAACAGAACATACTTTGGTTGGGGTGGTAGGGTAGCCTAGTGGTTAAAGTGTTAGTTCGTTTTGCCGAAGTTCTGTGTTTGATTCTCTATCCAGGTACAATGTGAAGCCCATTTCTGGTGTCCCCTGCAATGAAATTGCTGGAATATTGGTAAAGCATTTAATCCCAGCTCATTCATCCATACTTTTGTCATATTTTTAAAACAACCTGGTTGACCATTCAAAAGAATAGGGCAATGTAAAAATGTACATGTTCCATAAATTTTGGAAACAGGATATAATCCAGATGAGTTACCAGCAGTGGAGCTGACATGTCTGTAACTGCTGTTAGTTATGTAGAGGTTCACACAAGAAGTAGAAGAGTTTTCACAGAAGCAGTAGAATGATAGTATATCAATCAGTAATAGGGGCTGTGAGGTAGCCTAGTGGTTAAAGCGTTCGCTTGTCATGCCGAAGACCCGGGTTCGATTCCCCAGGTGGGTACAATGTGTGAAGCCCATTTCTGGTGTCCCCCGATATTGCTGGAATATTGCTAAAAGTGGCGTAAAACCTAACTCACTAATTCAACCAGCAATACCAGTACTTCCCAATTCCCAGTTGAAACAACAGTTGATTCACTCATTACTTCTTTGGGTGATTTATCAAGTTTCTTATAAGTATTCTATCCCAGTAAATCTGTAATGTAAATGATGATTTGAACAGGTTTCTATTGAGAAAGTTCATTGAAGCACATGGCGCCTCAGGCAAAGTCTCAGGTTGATTTGTTGCATTAGCTAGATGAGGTTTCACTCCATAGTAGACCTATCTCGACATCTTCCATCAGGTCCTCTTTCCGACCTTTCCTGTCCCATGTAATCTCTCTCTTAATTCATGTCACCCTTAATTAATCTCACCCTTACTCTCAACCTGAATTCATCTCCCCTCACCTCTAATCCATCTCATCTCATCTCAACCTCACCTCACCTCACCTCACCTCACCTCACCTCAGATTCATGCCTGTTCTCAAACTACCACATTGATGTCCACTCACTTCCAATACCACTCACGTCGTCATATGAGCGCAATATTCTCAAGCACGACGTTAACCCCAATTTCACCTCACCTCCAATACCACTCACTCACTTGGAACCCACCTACTCACTCACCACTGACACAGGTCCACCCCTCAACCCACAGTTATCATGTGTATGTAAATGTTTGTAAATTGTTGAAAATCCCCTTGATTTTATCGTCATGAAATACTGTATTTATGATTTAATACTCACATCATTTCTCTCAGACAGTCCATTTTTCTGATGTTGAATACCTTTGACCACTGTGAAGTCAATTCATTCTTGTCATTTCTCTCATTTCCCTTTAGCTTAGTTTTAAGTTATGTGTTGTATCTTGGCAACTGTACACCTAGTTTTATACTCCTGAAAATGTCCATTTTTAAGTACCTGGGCATGACTAGGATTGTGTTTTTGATGCATGAACCTATGCCAGTTGTAGGAGCTATATCATGCACAGCACCCCAAGTTCAACTCACATGCAACTCTTTGTGTAGGTCGTATTCCATCTGAAGGATGGATATCAGAACGTGTTCCAACATCACATTCTATTTTCTGTCATAAAGTTTAATGTGAAGGATTACCAAACATAAATCCTGTCAAGTTAAATGCTCATCTTTGTTGTAGTGGACACGTGTCAGCTGACCAAATTGAAAACCACATTGATAACTCATTCTGGTGAATTGCACCAAGATGGGATTGTCAATGCCAGTTTTCAGCCTTGATACCAAAGGTCAAGTGAGCTATAGGATAATGAAATACCTTATCTTCTTGCATACTTGCAGTGTCGTCACAATCATCTACTATGGGTTCCCAGATTCATACATGGTTTGTGCAGGGTCTGTTGATGACTGGTTTGAATCTCAGATGAATCAACAGTCTCTGCAAGGGTCTGCTGATCAGGGATTGGAAGGCTGATGAATCCATGGTCTGAGCAAGGGTCTGCTGATCATGGATTTAAATCCCAGGTGCATCCATGGTCTGTAGTTGGTTCTGCTGATCATGGATTCAAATCCCAGGTGCAACCATGGTCTGTAGTTGGTTCTGCTGACCATGGATTCAAATCCCAGGTGCATCCACAGTCCGTAGTTGGTTCTGCTGACCATGGATTTAATTCCCAGGTGCATCCACGGTCCGTAGTTGGTTCTGCTGACCATGGATTCAAATCCCAGGTGCAACCATGGTCTGTGAAAGTTTTGATGATTCTGGGTTTGAATCCCAGATGAATCCATGGTCTGTACCAGGTTTCACTGCTCATGGATTCCAATTCCCAGATTCATTCCAATTGGTTTTGACTGAAGTGATGTTTGTAAACTGACTGCATCAGTGTGTTTCCTTCCTTGGTAAGCTGAGAAGCCATCTTAAGAGAATTTCAGCACCAATGCCTGTGAAACCCACACAGAAAAATGTATGTTGTGTCTAGTTAAGACTTCCATGTCATTTAGTGTCAGTCATGTGGGTGATGTTATGTTGTGTATGGTATGTTCAAAATACCAAGCTATCTTTCATTGTAGTTCATCTCTTCTTTTCATGAGCAGAACTTGATGATGAGGGTGATACTTTTTGCAAGAAAATAATTGTCACATATATGCACTGTCAATCCATTATACATAGACCATTACATGAATCACTCATTTTATTCAAGTTGAAAATTACTCCAGAAAATTTAACTTTTTCACAACTTTTCATATATTTATATTGAACTTATAATATTTGCCATTGCAGGTACATATCATGTTGTGTTTAATGTATTTTTTCACATTTTTAAATTCACAGTTGAATATTTGTATTTCTTTATGATGACGTATGTATGAGTTGACTTGTTTGAGAGATTGTTGGCTGTTCTTGTTTGTACGTGCTTGTGTTCAGTATGTGTTCTGCGGGTGCTATTTGAACGTCTCAGTAGCAGTTAGGATCATAAACAAAGGGAATTATCATCAGTATTATATTTTGTAACAATAGCTTTAGACAACTTGTACAGTTAATTAACTCGAAGGAACTCTGAGACATTTTATGTGATCAAGACCCAAACCACAAGAAAATGTCTATTGCACAATACTCATTAATGTATATCAAAAGAAATTTGATATTTTGGTCACAGAATCACATAGGTTACTCTATATTGCAACATCCTCGCAGAATCATTTGCTGGAAGTGTGACAAACATGTGATTAATGCATCAGAACTGTAGAATGTGAAATGAATTAGCATTCCTGATTATCCTGAGTATTAAATCTCCAGTAGGTTATGATGATGTCCTGGCTCCTTCATTCACATAGGGGGGGCGGTGGGGTAGCCTAGTGGTTAAAGCGTTGGCTCGTCACGGCGAAGACCCGGGTTCGAATCCCCACATGGGCACAAAGTGTGAAGCCCATTTCTGGTGTCCCCTGTCGTTATGTTGCTGGAATATTGCTTAAAGCAGCGTAAAGCCAAACTCAGTCAGTCATTCACATAGATTTGTTTCGAGTCTGGTTCAAATGCCGGACCACTTAAAGGGAATGTCCCAACTAGTATGACTTCCTCATGCTGTCTCAAATACGACCCTAACGTCTTGCAGAGGGAATTTCACTCCAACGACTTAATACTCATGAATACATCGTTTGAGCTTTATACCAATCTTAGCACGTTATATTTGGGATTACACTTTCTCAGTAAAGTAGATTCTTGTACTTTTGTTGAGCCCCATACAGGATTCGAACCCACACTCTCAGTCAGGCACCTGGCTGAGCAGGTTAGATGGCTGACTTGTGTGCTGGCGATTAGGGGCCTGAGAGTGTGTTTTCGAATCCTGGATGGGACTCAACCCAACAAAAGTACTGGAATCTGTACTTTGCTGAGGAAGAAGTACCAGCATTGAGGTTATATAATCGAGGCTGTTGCAGAGAGATGTTACTCCAGGACCTGATTGCCTGGCCGAGACGTGTCCTTCAGTGTATGTGTTGTGTCTGTGTTGCCCCTCCAGCGAGAGAGCATGCATCCCCATGTTGTGTTCCAGTATTTGTTGTTATATATTCGTGATGAGCTCATTTGAGTTTTGTTTGAGAATCGGTGTGTCTGTTTACAAATGTTTAACAGCAATATGATTTGTAAAATCACCCATTCAGATTTGTTAGGATTATTACTTCTGGGTGTATGTACAACATGATGAACATTTATTGTGTGTATTTGAAATGAATTTTGCACATACTGCATGAGTTTAATTACTTTCTTAAAGTTATTACTTGCAAGCCCATGGTTTGTTTGTACCAGGCTTGATCTTTTTGGCAGTTGCCCTTTGGATTTTTCAGATATTATATATTAACTTATTAACTTCATGCTTAATTGTAAACTTTAAAGTTGTTCCAGATCAGAATACTTATTCCACTTCCATGTCAGCCTTATCATATGATCAGACAATTGAATTTCTATGAAGTGTATATAGTTTTAACACAAAATTGATCTAGCTTGTCAGTGTTAAGCTGCTCCAAAATTGTCCAAATCTGGGTCCCCGATCCACAAAGTGTTCATAACGTTACAACCTGTCGTAACTCTATTGTTTATCATAACGTTACGACCTGTCGTAACTCAATTGTTTATCATAACGTTACGACCTGTCGTAACTCTATTGTTTGTCATAACGTTACGACCTGTCGTAACTCTATTGTTTATCATAGGGTTACGAATGTCGTAGTGCTACGAATGTTTAGTGGATCTGGACCCTGATATCTTTCAGAGGTCTATTCCACAAAGATCTCTTACACCTGAGTTGACATTGACCACAAATTGACAAAATCTTGTTGAGGAATGGCCCTGAAATGTGAAAGTTAATTTCACTACTTCGTCTTTGCAGCGCTGTTACAAATATCTTGAACACTGACCGTAGCTATTTGCCCCCCTGGCATATAAACTCATAGAGGTTTTGACCACTGACTTTGGCGGTTTGATATCTTTTGCTATTTGGTATTTAAACTCATACAGTTATTTGTGAATATGGTGAATGCGAAGATTTGTTGTTGCCTGTTATACAGGGGAGTGTTTGAAAGCTGTCTTACGTTGAAAGCAGAGAGAATTCATATGCCAGATATGCATGTAGTATGGAAATCATTGATGTAGTCTGTGTTGTTGTCAAAAAAAGTCTAGAAATCCACTCATTGCCCCCAAAAATCCATGTCTTTGTGCTCTGTCAGTTGAGAGTTAGATGATTAATGCATTGTGAAGCTTTATTTACATGTTGAAAGAGATAAGACTTTATTTATATTCTGAATGTATGTTTCATTGTTAAAGTCCTAACTTGTTGCCATGTTACACACATGCTACTCCTTTTTCATATCCCCTGTAGTTCAGGTTCATATTTACCTAATATGGAGAAATAGTGGATTAGCTTTTATTTTTCAAATCATGTAAAACTTCCTAGATTAAACAATGATCTCACTTCCATCTTGTGTTTTTGATAATAATGTTAATGAAATTACCCCTGTGGTCTCGTGGTTGGTTTGTTGTTTAACGCCGCACTCAGCAACATTCCAACTATATGGCAGCCGTCTGTAAATAGAATCTCGACCAGACAATTCAGTGATCAACAGCATGAGCATCAATCTACGGTACGTAATTGGGATACGATGACCTGTGTCAGCGAAGCCAGCGAGCCTGACCACCCGATCCCGTTAGTCACCTCTTACGACAAGCATGGGTTACTGAAGACTAATTCGAACCCAGGATCTTCATGAGTTGGTACATACCTAAAGACAAGAAGAGATGGTACTTGTTTTCCTGCTTGCCAGTAGGAAGACGGAATAAAACAAGGACTGGTAGTCAGTATTCGTGTCTGAGGGAGGTGCTTGTGCAGACAAGTGCATACACTTATCGTAATGATGCAAGTTATGTTGACCCAATTATACCAAACCACCTTGTTTCAAGGAGATCAATTAAAGGTATTTTAGGATGGAAACGTTTCCACATCCTCTTTCCATTTGGCTTGAACAGGGTACCAAATCTCACATCAGCTCAATCAGAACCCAAGTATTCTCAAGTGAGATTATCCTGACAACATTGACGACATAATGTGCCTTTATCTGCTTTAAAGCACACAGCTATGGGCTAATGAGTGTTAATCATCTGGGGTTCTCATGTAGTACAATGCTTTCCCAATAACCAGTTCATTTTGTTTCAAGATGTACCGAGCAAACTTCCATCTATATGACAGCGTAAATTATGGAATAAGAATATACAACATGTTGTACTTACACTTGTTTATTGCACACATAGATACATATACTTACAGCAAGTTTCATAACGGAGCAGAATAAATCATCAGTATTGAACAGATCTGTTGCATACCATAAACTGTTTGACATTCTTGAGGGATACACATTCTTGAGTAAAAGGAAAGCACCACCAATGTGAGATCCTGTATGCTGAGCTATATCACCAGTGTATGAAATAAGGCCCGTCCGACAGCCCGAGATGGGCTAGATTTCTGAGGGACGGTCTAAATTTACAGCCAGTCCGATGGTCTGGTAAATGTTTTTTAGATGTTCCATACATCTGAGTAAATTAACCATATATTGTGCATTCTCTTCCCACAGAGGTTACTCCTGTCATATCTTCCTACGTAACCTCTGTTCTAATACGGCCATATTTCCAGGTTCTCGTAAAATCCCCTAGCGGCAAAAGATCGCAACACGAATTATCTCCCTTCTTTCTATCCAATCAGAACACCTGTTACATCCACTTAGATTCAACTTGACTAACACAAGCAAATGTGAGGCCACAGATATCCCCCATCTGCCGGGGACTTGTGTTGATGTTATACACAAGACGTTTAATGGCTAGCTTGTCCGTTGTCGACGAGGGCGATGGAGACGCAACTGACCCGCCATAACATGACTGAGTTCTGTCTAGAAGAAACGTTTGCGCATCGCGCAGGGGAAGAAGTTTAGTTTTCTCGAAGCATACGGAAATTACCGAGGCCTTTGCGAATGATCACTTTTGAAACAACGTCGCTGATTGCACAACTAAATCTGATTGTCTCCAATCACGAGTCTTGAACGCTCACACCATGAAAGGGCCGTATTAGAACAGAGGTTACGTAGGAAGATATGACATGAGTAACCTCTGTGGGAAGAGAATGTATATTGTGGTGTCTGGTCTGGTTAAATTCATTTCGGACTGGTAACATATTGAAGTCTGGCTGGTGTTATGGGCTTATTTCATACACTGATATCACTCAGAACATGTTCAAGAACATCCCCAATTGGAAGGCCATGTGTTGCCCACAAGCCATGACAGATTAAGTAGTTATATAAAGAAGGTTCTTTAGTTTTTGTGAGTAGTATATGTTAACAGCCTAGCTGAGATATGCATTATTTTTCCATGACAGAGAAATGTATCACTCACAATGTTAAATACTCCCTAGTCAGTGTTTGAGATGTTCCAGATCAGGGAGATGCCACGTTCTGCCCACTTCCTTCCCTCAGGCTCTGAACCGTGGGATTACTCAGAACAACCAACACGATACAAAGAGTTACAGATTATCTGTCCTGGGTTAAGCAGTGGTGTCAGCCCCTTTCTTTGGAAAGGCAATTGCTGCACTCATTCCAGAGTGACAGATTTTTAATTCTGATTCTTGAATACCTTATCCTATGAATGACTCAGAGACACTTAAGAAAGAAAAGTTAAATGCACTTTAAAAGAGTTAAATTGCAATCCGCCAATTCACAGGATATGATGTGACTAATGATGGATGATGTCATGAATGAATGTTCTTCACAATGAAGCCAACAGATGTAATAGTGCTACAGCATTAAGAATCACCAACATTATACAATTATAGACAGGTGACGAGGCCAATACCTGTTTTTATGGACCCGCGAAAAGCAATACTGACCTCGGAGTCGGACCTGCGAAAAGCAATATTGACCTCAGAGTCGGACTTCGTCCTCGGTCAATATTGCTTTTCGCGGGTCCATAAAAACAGGTATCGACCGAATTCACCAGTCCATAAATGTTTTATTATGTAATTACCCAAAAAAAGATTCTAAAAACCAAAATGTCCATTTAGTCAAGAAAAGTAATTTTATTTTTGCTACAAACCAATAATGTTATGTCAACAATATTGCGACATGTAAACAATAGAATGACGCCATACCTTGATGTCAAAATCTATATTTAGTAACCCAAGTCAATATGACTTTTGGTCGGACCTTGGTTGGAGTCAATATGCTTTTCTGTCGACGGTCACGAGACCGCCTCTAGACCAATCAGGTAACCGGAAAAATATGCTTACATAATAAATCCACATATTGATATGTGATTATACTTGATCCTCATTACACTGTTTCGGTAGATCAGTCCTAGACATAACAGTTTGGCCTTTTATTTCCTGTCTACTTTAAGAGCATAGAACAGTCAATAGCAAACATGGGAATATTGTTTCTTATCAGTATCCATTAATGTTTTACAGTTCATCACAGTAACCATGGTACACTCGAAAACATATTTGGAAGGAAGGATTAGTGTGGCATACAAGTTACACAAACACTTTCATACAGCAGGAAGCTCAACATTGAACATGAGCATGAATCTGACACGCGAAACTTCAAATATAACATGGAGCAGATCTAATCAGTGGCTCAGTTTTATATGTTATTGTTTTATATTGCACTCAGCTATATGACAGCAGTGATAAACAGTATGAGCATCAGTCTCAATGTGCAAGCAACAAAAATTATACATGTGCTCCAACAAGCCATTTCTGCATGTCAGGGGTGGAAATAAGTTTAAAGTTGCTAGTGTACTCTGGTACAGTGGCACATGTAAAGTCACTTGCCCTGATTATTTTCCCACTATACCAACCGTTTTCTTGCTGATTTTTTAAATAAACAACATAATAAACATTGGAGGAAAGTCAACTGGACACCGGTGCAGTGTGATATACAAATTTGCTTGCCCGACAGAAAAAAACACTGGACTCGGACGTCGGGCAATGGGTTATTTCCACCCCTGCATGTGTAACAAACTCTTTGTCTATCATTGTCAGGTATAGAAAAACCGAACCAACAATGGATAAGAGAAGTGTTTATTTAACCTGCTTTTAGTAAGGCAGATTCTATGAAAGAAATAAAAATGAGCAAGGTTTTAGAAATTAAATATCACAGTAGAAGCACCATGAAAGATCATTACATCTTTGTGAAATCAACCTGGTCGTGATAAACAACCACTTATCAACATCCCCAATTTAATAAGAATGAGACATAAAAGATATTGTCTGTCTGAGCACTTGTTTTATACTGCTATGAACTCATCTATATCATTTCTACACAGCCTCAGAAATTTGTCTTCTCCCTTGTCCTCAGCGTAATGCCCACATGGGTACAATGTGTGAAGCCCATTTCTGGTGTCCCCCCGCCGTGATATTGCAGGAATATTGCTAAAAGTGGCGCAAAACTAAACTCACTCACTCACTCCCTAGTCCTCAGAGTTTGTAGCGAGTCCTTGAACAAGACAAAAGTAACTATGTACGGGATTTATACATATCTTCAGCACAACTTAATTGTCCTGAGCCAGCCAAAAGAGTGACTTTCAAAGGTTGCAATAATATAGTGTCTCTACAACAAAACATAAAAATCAGCAGAGAATATATGGATACAAGTAAACGACAGGTATGAGCCCTTGACTTTTAGAACAGTATCCTCAGCACTAATTATAATACAGCTCATTTATCAGGTAAACACACATGCACCTCTTCACAACTGACTTAAAGGAAGTCATCAAGCAGCACACAAAGACTGGAAAAGCTGAGTACCATATGACCTAAATGTCACAGGTACCAGAGTTGGGATGTGTGTTGAAAAAATGAGATGTGCGATTGTGTAATTTGTGTATATCCATGCTTTGAACAAGTGCTTGATATCTCCCTCTAATAACACAGTTGTGTACCTGAAGCCATATCACATGATTCTGTTGTTCTCGGTACAGTGTAATCACGAGTTCCGGATCTTCAGGACCGGTGAGCTCTGTGCCACAGGCGTGGTGTCTGTGAAGGTGGAGGAGTCGTTTGTAGGGGTGGAGGCGCTGGTGTCCTGAGTTGTGGGAGTCAAGTTGTTATGTGCAGATCTCCTCTTAGGAGTTCCATCTCTTGAAAGGGAAGATCGTTTCTTTGGGGTGGTGTCTTTAACTAGAGACGATCTTCGTCTGGTCTTCTTGAGAATATGTTGACCGAACTGTAAATCAAAGTATTTTTTCATATTTTCATTTGTAATCTTCAAAGGGAAGCGACAGAAAACAGACAAAGCTTCGATTAAAGTGCAGATAGTTGAATACGATGTGATATTCACCTCGCTAGGACAGCATGCACATCATCTAGTTATTACATTCGTGAACTATTAAATAATGAAAGATACTCAAAGTTTCTTCATATTGATTGAAACACTGTCTGACATAACTGAACCATAATCTCAAATATACTATTGTTATCAGGCAATGTTATACATTGTGCAACAATGTTTCACCTGTTATATGTTGTACCTGCAGATCCATTAAGTGGCAGTGGTGTGCTATATTTAGACTTGTACTCGATTTAAACAAAATGATCTGGAAAGTGCTACAAGCCACTCTCCAACCCAGTTCCAAGCAGCCAGCATAATGCGATTTGTGACAATTTGTCACATCATACACAGTCCATTCAATATATTGTATATATTTTATTTTTGACGAGTCTACACATCTAATTAACTTATTTGATAGAATAGTTTACTGTTGCTGACAAAATATCCTAAAACGTGTAACACTATTTTGATTTGCGTAGTGGTTCTTTGTTTACATAGGTTATGCGGTAGGCCTGTCTTTTCTGATTTACAAATATGCATGTTTGTTCACAAACAAGAGTAAAGTCCGGTCACGTGATATGCAAATTACCCTGTTGCAGTGATGTTAGGCTAAGTCATCACTCTGCCGGAGTGTGGCTTGAAGCAGCTTATTCCAGAATTATCTGTCTTACAGAGGTTTATAAGGGGGCAGTAACTCTTGCCTCTCATCTCAAGCCAGAAAAAAATCAGCCCTGCATGTGATCACCATAACACCCTTAACACTTTCTGCCTTGCCCTTTCTTAGACTGACTGACTGACTGAGTTTGGTTTTACGCCGCTTTTAGCAATATTCCAGCAACATCACGGCGGGGGACACCAGAAATGGGCTTCACAAATTGTGCCCATGTAGGGATTCGAACCCGGGTCTTCGGCGCCCCCTTTCTTAGAAATTGGAGTACTGTTGCTGTGATAGATGAATATCACCATCATTGTCTTTATTGCTATAATCACTGCTTTCGTATTGTATAACATCTGAATTTGTACAGCCACTCTAGCTTGTACTACCATAGTAATGCCTTTGTACTGATTATATTAATTAGTGAACTTAGTTCATTTCAGAACACAGTTGTTAAGCACATCACATAGCTTTGTTGCTTGTCTTTTCAAACTGATGGTCAGTTAATGCAGCTTGGTGACAGGCTTTATTGATCTGAAGTGAAACCTTATTCTTTATTGATCTGAAGTGAAACCTTATTCTTTATTGATCTGAAGTGAAACCTTATTCTGTATTGATCTGAAGTGAACCCTTATTCTTTATTGATCTGAAGTGAAACCTTATTCTGTATTGATCTGAAGTGAAACCTTATTCTTTATTGATCTGAAGTGAAACCTTATTCTTCATCAACCTACTGGCAGTCTAGGGCTCATATCTGGAGAGCTGAAGTCAGGGTTGTTCTCCTTGTCGAGTTCTGGGCTGTACAGTCTGCGATGCGCAAACTTCTTCTTCAGTGCTTGAGCTATGATAGATGCAGCGTCAAGTGAGTCTGAGTTTGGCTTCCCTCGTACTGGTGTACCCCCTGGAGATCTGGTCAACAAACAGACATGTACACATTATTTCCTGATTGATCTTGGGAGTCAAAACAATATTTCAAAACAACCATTTGACAGGACTTAAGCAACAATATAATTTTTTTCAAATTCTTCCTAATCACTGACAGAAGGACAATCTGTGATTGTCTTTATAGCAAAGTCTTTAAAGCTTTTGCAATTACTATGGCTGTTATGCTGGAGATGCATTTTACCACACTGCAGCAGCCTGTAAGTGATGAAGTCAGGACCATCAACATCAGTGCCCTAAGATTTAATAACAATAAAAAACAGCCAGAGTACATTAACTTTGAGGATTTGTTTTTAATGTGGGTTTGATCTTGATTTTACTTGTATCCTAGTATGTCAGGTGTATGTGAGAGGTATGCCCTAGTGAGACTGGAGACAGTGGATCCAAATTGCAGCACCAGGATTGTGCGCATTAACTAAATCATTTATGTGAAACAATGTTTGCTTAATCTTAACCTAACGTAGAGTTAATTATTATACAGCCAACACAAAGTCTTCCTCAATGTGCAGATATTTTCTAAATCTGAGAATATCAGTCTCAGTACAATAGTTGTGAATATGCTGAAGTGAAATGAGTTTTAACACACCATTTTAAGATAACTGCATTTCTATAGCAGCATGAATGTATGTCTGTTTGTTGCTGCTCGTAGCTCTCCATAATTCTGTCGGTTTTATCTCTACAGCCCACTGACATACCAGCCCTTGTTTCATCCATTTAATGCTGAGTTGAGAAGAAAGTAACAAGGACACTATAGGACAGGTGTATCTTGAAACAGACTTACCTTTTGATAGACTTTAGTTTGACTGTTCCCAGCCCCTTGAGGATCTGTGACATGTCTGGCACTCCATCTGTCGCAGTGCTGTTGCTGGGGCGATTGGAATCCTCAGCTGTCTGTAGACCTGACTTTTGCTGAAACAGATGACATACATTTAGCTGACCAGGAGGGTTCAGATTCAGTTTGACCTACTTATCTTAGAATTTATACACAAATATTCTGTCTGACCGGTGAAGATCCAGGTTAGAATTGATCTTCAGTAACCTATGCTTGTCGTAAAAAGCGACTGACGGGATTGGGGGTTCAGGCTCGCTGACTTAGTTGACACATGTCATTGTATCCAAGTTGTTTAGATCAATGCTCATGCCGGATCACTGGATTGTCTGGTCCAAACTCGATTATTTACAGACCGCCGCCATATAGATGGACTATTGCTGAGTGCAGCGTAAAACTAAACTCTCTCACTATCTGCCTATCCTATTTTAGGAGTCTAGACAATAGTCATCATGCTGCTGAGTTTATTCTGTAAACAGACTAACATGACCATAGCTAAATTCAAGCTTTATTATATTTCTGACCCCAAAAAAGGTTCACTGCATGATGAAATCCAAAATTATGAAGTGACTTTACTGTTACAAATACTTCACCTGTTTGAGCAAAGCTGCTAGAGACATCCCACTTGCTTTAGGCTTTATACCAGGCACAGCTGTGGAGGGTGGCGGTGGAGGGAGTGGTGGAGGAGGCGGTGGGGGACAGGAAGGGGGAAGTGGAGGAGCAGGAGGAGGAGGGGGACAAACTGCTGGGAGAGGGATGCTGGCGCCGTCAGGATCAACTGGAACAAATATACAAAAATCAATTGGACTGAAAATATTCCCCATATTTTAAACCAATATATATCTTGAAAAATATTCACTGGGCTTTGCTTAAATGGTTAAAGGTGAAACAAGGTTTAATGTTTCATTCAAGATTGTTTCAATTTGATACATATTTATATACTTGAAAAGTACAGTGAGAAGCGAAACCTCTTGTAGCTCAAAACATACAGTTTCATTGAGTAATGTCATACTCTTGCAAATCCTAACTTCAACTACTGTGAACATGGAGAGAAAAATATTATGGAAAACACTCCCACCTCTGATAGATTTATTTGTCTCCTGTGTGAGTACAAGCAGCGCTATCTGTTTGCGTAGTGCTGCCAGCTCTTCCTCCATGGCTGTTAGCTTCAACACTGTGCTGGCATCCTGCGTCATGTTAGACAACATCGACAACGACTGATTCAGAGGAGTAGATGTCATCTCCTTCCGCTGTATCAAGAATGTGGCATCATCGGTAGCATTTATGATATCACATTCCTCGTCACTGTCCCTCTTCTCCACCCTGTGGCATCAGACACCAGTCACATACATTCAATTTACATGAGGTGTCAAATAATTGGTTCTTGGGCAGACCAGAAACAAAAAACACAGCAACTTCCCGAATGTGTAATCCTACCCCTGTTCTTCCCAGTTTTAGTGCTGTAATATTTCTTTCACAGGTGTGAAAGCTGGAAACAGATATGACTGGTTCTCCCTGTCCTGTCTAGGTAGGTTTTATTGTTTAACGCCACACTCAGCAATATTCCCGCTATATGATGGTAGTCGGTAAATAACTGAATCTGGTTCAGGCAATCCAGTGATCAATATTGTAAGCTGTGATACTGGCGTTGGGGAATAATGACATGTAAGTAATTAAGTGCTGAATGAATGAATGAATGAGTTTGGTTTTACGCCGCTTTTAGCAATATTCCAGCAATATCATGGCGTGGGGCACAAGAAATGGGCTTCACACATTGTACCCATGTGGGGAATCAAACCCAGATCTTCGGAGGCGTGACGAGCGAACACTTTAACCACAGGGCTACCCCACTGCCCTTAAGTCCTGAAGCCTGACCACACAATCAATTTAGTCACCTGTCATGACCAGCACAGGTAGATGAGTACCTGTTGTAACCAGAACTTCCACAGGGGCTGTCGGGATATGATCAGTGACCTACCTGTAGTGTATGCAGTTTTCTCCCCAGTCCTCCTCCACCCACTGAAGATCCTCAGAGGAAGTGGTGGAGAAACAAGTGTTAATACTCTCTGTGCTGCCATGGCGATAAACCAGCTGACTTGGGCCAAGCAGGTGACTCTGGAAACAAAGAGGAAACCAAGACACTTAGACACCACAGGAGAAGATAACCTATTACAAATGTATATAAAAATGTAATTTTCTGACTATAATTGATATTTTATACTTATCCTGACTCATGCTAATTATGCTTTCTCCTTCCTCTTGCGAATGATAGTGGAACACTTGAAATCCCTTGAAGTTCCCTTCTAAAAAAGTGGACGTAAAATCACTCACCAACGAGTAGCTCCCGCTCCCCCCTTTTGGCGTCCAAATGGTCACATGATCGGCCATATTTGTCACTCTCTCCGTATGTAAGCCCGACACCCGGATTTACAGGGAAATCCAGAGTGCCATAAGAGGGGAGGTTGGGAGGGCTAACCCCATGAGTCAGGATAAGTATAAAATATCAATTTTAGTCAGAAATTTACATATTTTTCCTTATTCTGATTCTTGCTAATTATGCTTGCAGAATCCGTCGGAAATGGTGGTGGGTCAGGCCACATTCTGGATTCACTCGTTGTAGGTATACGTCGTGTATTACCCCCCTTGGGAAATTATGACGGCACTGTTGAAGATTCTGTTCTTTCAACTTCTCTCTGATGAATCTGGGGGGACCACAACTTGTCAGATTTCTTCCGAAACTTCTGACATTTTCATGTGGATTTTAGATATACTAATATTCCATTAGTTATCTATTGCAACTCCATCTCTTGATGCGCGCATCAAGTGGAGAAGCGACCCTTCTTCATGTACAAGTATGTCCTATACAAGTACAGGGTCTATCACTCATGCTAGTCTGTCCTAGACGTGTGCATGGACTTATAGCCATTGCTCTCCAGAGCATTGTTTTCACAAGTCACGTGATAAAAGGGGTGAGATTTACTCAGAACCTTTGTGGAACCGTTAGTTGTTGTGCTACAACAAGTGGCCCAAACTGGTGAATGCCTGAGACGTCTTCGGTGGCAATGTCTCTGAGGTAGTGGTTGGCAAACACTGTGTTCGATCTCCAAAAGCAGCCCTCCATTATAGTTGTAATCGAGCAGTTTCCATGCATGTTGACGCCAGGGCTCTGACTTCATGTGGATTGGAGGCTCGTGGAGGCTCAAGTCCTGCTGCTTTATAAGGCCCTTAGTATAACGGCTCTCATCTAGATCGATATTGTTGTCCGAGAGACTTCCGTGGGCATCTCTGTTGATAAGGGGATGAATAGGCGCTTGAATTTTCGTCTCCTTGTTTTAGTTCTTTGTAAGTAGACTCAAAGTCCAGAGCATGTATTTCTGACATCCTTGCAGCTGTTGCTAGGGAAATAAGGAACAGCGTTTTCTGAGTTAGTAGTTCAAACGATGTCCGTTCTAGAGGCTCGTAGGCATCACTGGTGAGATGTTGTAGAACTATGTTGAGATCCCAGGCAGGAGCCTTAAATTTCTTTTGTTGGTCTTCCAACTTGAACGAGCGTAGTAGTGCCAGAATCTCTGGTACTTTGGTCAGCTTGATACTCGTTTTCATGGTGATAACTGTACTGAGGGCAGCTAAGTACGTTGAGAGTGTTGAACCTTTTAAGTGTCTCATCTATCGTAGATGACATAAGTATTCCGCCACTTGAGGATGTGTTGCTTTCACTGCTGTAAAGCCTTTCCTCTTTGCATATTGTTCAAATCTCTGCAACTTGTCGTCGTACAAGTTGCGAGTTGATCTGCATAGAGCTGGTGTAACTGCTTTCGCTGCTCTGGCGGAGTACCCTCTAGTCTTCAGGCAAGCTTTAATACGCTCCACGTGTGTAGCTGGAACAGTGTCGGGTTCCTGTGAGCTTGCTTGGTGTGTGGATGGACGAGTAGGTTCGACCACTCTGGTATTTTCAGGGTTGGACTTCCGAGTTCTTGTATGAGGACGGGAAACCATACCCTTCGCTGGCCAGTAGGGTGCAACCAAAATCAGTTGCAACGTAGTCGTCTGCTTGATTTTCTGTAGTACTTGTGGTAGCAGTGCAGGAGGCGGAAACGCATAAGCGTTTAGTCTGTTGCCCATGCCTGAGGATCTGGAATCGGTGAGACGAACGTTGGTAGCTGTTTGCTGAACTTTGTTGCAAACAGGTCTATTAGTGGGGATCCTATAGACTGTCTGATGAACTGGAATGCTTCTGGATGCAACATCCATTCCATCGGGGATGGTTGTAGTGGACGAGATAGGGCGTCGGCTATGACATTCTTTGCTCCCGGAATGTGGCATGCCTTCATGTAGATGTTCAGGTCATCGACTATGCTGAACAGGTGAAAGCTGAGTTGTAGCAGACTTGTTGATCTTGTTGACCCTTGTTTGTTAATGTAAAACGCCACTGTGGAGTTGTCAGTGTGTACTATGAATCGTGCGTTCTTTAGTACGCTTGACCAATGTTGTAAAGCATTGATTACTGCTTTTCTCCAACAGATTGATGTGTGACTTCTGATCCTGACTCGACCACTTTCCTGCTGCCACTTCGTTGTTGAAGTGCGCACCCCATCCTTGTATGGAGGCATCCACGTAGAGATGAGTGTTGCAAACCGGCTCTGACAAAAAGGTTCCTCCGCAAACGTTCGACTTCTGAGTCCACCATAGGAGATATGGTTTCAGGCTGTCCGGTAGTATTAACAGATCTAGACTGTCTAGGTGGGCGTTCACAAATACTTGTAGTGGGCGCAACTGTAATCTCCCTCTGCGAGTCATGTCTTGAGCTGAGGTGAGTAGACCGAGCATGCTTTGCCAAGCACGTAGTGTCAACGGAGAGAGCAATGCTTGAGATATCATCTGTTGTATCGTGACCCAACGATCCTCTGGAACAACTATGCGATTCACTGGTGTGATGAGTCGAATTCCTAGAAACTGCAGATCTTGTTTCGGCTCCAGTTCTGACTTGAGGAGATTCACTTGCCATCCTAGTTGAGTGAGCAAAATTTCTCCTTGGAATTCTTCTTCGGTACCAGGAAAATTGGGGAGTAAAACCCGGTCATGATGAGATCTTGATCTATCTCTTCTACTGCCTCTTTGTCGAGTAGGGTCTTGATAGCATCGTCCAGTTTCTCTATCTGGTCGGCTGCATAGTTGAACGCCATCGGGTTGCTTGTGAGCGACGGAGTGGCTTCCAACTGTATCTTGTACCCTCTGCGCAGTATCTGGGATACGTAGTCGTCCTGTAGTATTCTCCAATTCTCCAAGTACCGTTGAAGACGTCCACCCACTGTCAAAGGTTGTACAGGAACGGCTGGGGGTGGAAGACTCCAGTCGTTCCGAACCTGGCCTTCAGCGCTTGATTCCTCTTGCACCCCTAGGTGCTCAGCCTTTTCCGGGGTTACCTCTAGGAGCTCCGGTTGGGCGACAAAAGGAGCCTCTTCCTCCTTTCATACTGGAATACTTCTTTTCTCTGGCTCTCTGGACTCCTGCAAACTTAGATTTATTGGAGTAGCGTTGGGACGTCTGATGAATCACGTTAACCAAGGTGTCGATGGATTTAATCATCATAACCTCCCTGAGTCGTGAGAGACTTCTCTGGTGACTTCTTCAATTCCTCCTCCGAAGATGTAAGATGCTGACCATGGGGCTCTGTATAAGGACTTCATGAAGCGTTCACTCCAAGTGCATGCTGACAATAACCCTTGTCTTTTCAGGAGAGTCAAGCCCGCTGATGTGGATGCTAGGTGCTCCGACATAAACTGATGGTCCCTCTTCTGCATTAGTAGAGCGGAGTATATCATCCGGTCTTCTTCGGCGGAGGAATTCTTGAATTTCGAGATGAGTGTTTCGTTGATAGCCCTCGATCTGGCTAATCCAAAGAAAGTATGTCTGGTGGTTGTATCCAGCTGCGCTAACTTCTTATCCTCAATCTTGTAAGTTCTCTGACGGGAGTCGGTGATAATCTTGTAGTCATCATCAACCTCTGGAGCCTTCAGGAAGGGTTCCATCCTATGTAGAGGGAATTTCCTGGCATTTAACGTCAGGATGTGCTGATTCTGCGACTTGGTGGCTTTATCAAAAGCTGCACTGAGGTTGTCTGGTACTTGAGAGATTGGGTCGATCAGTGGAAAGGTGGGCGTGTCGAAATAATCGTTGGACATCTTGTTGGTAAACGCTTCATCTGTGTCCTTAGAAGGTGATGATAAGTCCAAGCCATTGGCGATCCAGGAGTTAACTTCCGAATCGGAGAATATGCCTTCACCTTCATCCTCTGATTTAGACATCTCTCGCTCTATGGATGCACGATGACTTGACTCTCTATAGGATGATCTGTAAGATGAGCTTTGCGCAGGTGATTGATCCGGATGCGATCTTGAATCCTTCCTGGAGTTTTGAGAAAATTCTCTAGGTCTTCGTGAAGGTGGGTTCCTGGACGTAGCTTCCCCTCTGTAGGAGTGTCTTCGCACAGGCTCTCGATGAGCGTCTGAATCCGATGGAGATGAAGACTCATATCTGCGACGTCTGTAGGGTTCAGGAGAACGCCTCGATTCCTTCCTGTGTGGAGACTTCTTAGCAGCAATCTCTGGAGCGTCTATGTTGGTAGCCGAGTCCAGACTCCTCACTTCAGATGGGGAAGACCGTTGTGTCCATGAGCCTTTGCGCAGGCTTCCCTCTTCATCCTCACGTGGTGGGGAGACTGTAGAGCCTTCACACAGGCTAGTAGCTGATCTTAGACTTCGTTGAAGTCTTCATGGTAGTAGCCTTTTTCTTCTGCGATGGGGTCAGCTCAGTAGACGATGATCTCTTATGGCCTCCGACGTTCACCACTGGTACATCGACCTGCTCCCGAGAAACGTTCAGCAATTCACTGGAATTAAAAATATCTGCAGCAGTGGTTAACACATGGTTATCAGCGCAATCACTCGATTTAGACATGACTTTTGAATGCCTTCGTACCCAGTCCTTAGCACGTCTATGGATGGAAAAAAGGTAATTATTAAATTCAACCAAAGTTAAATTTACAGAAAAATTACAGCGAGAGCTGAAAGAACATGAAACAGTGCAATTAGGACATAATAAATGAGGGTCAGCCGCAGACACTCAGTGCAGTTTTCATCAAATGTAAACATGAAGAAAACACAAGTCAAACAATGGAAAAGTTATATTAAATTTCAAACCGCAATGTAGAATATAATCCTAAAAACCGTATACAGCAATAATTTTAATGTAAGGTCCGAAAATATAAAAGGATATGTGCCGTATAGGGACCCAGGTGCTCTCACAACCGTCCTCAAGGGCGAAGAAGGAGAGAGTGACAAATATGGCCGATCATGTGACCATTTGGGCGCCAAAATGGAGGAAAGGGACACTACTCGTGGGTGAGTGATTTTACGTCTGCACTTTTAGAAGGGAACTTCAAGGGATTTCAAGTGTTCCACTATCATTCGCAAGAGGGAGGAGACAAGCATAATTAGCATGAGTCAGGATAAGGAAAAATAACTGAATATTATACACTATAAAAGCTGACATTCTGAATAACTTTACAGTTAAGTATCAATGTTTATTCAAATGTGGCAAAGTTACCATTCAAGCTAGCATTGTAGTATTACAAAAAGAAATTATAGAAATACAATGATTGTATTGATCCCTATGTCAGCAATACATGCAGGAGCTGACATATACAGTTGTACAAATGTACCTGCAATCTTATTCTTCTGGCAGGTTTGCGGGGTAGGATGGATGCAATGAGCCGAACCAGGCTCCGTCTCCTCACACCTCTCTCCCTATTACGTCGCTGTCAGGGAGACAATACATTTCAATTTTTAATGGGTTGTTTCCATAACGCCAGCATGATCAAGGACAGTATTAACAAATCACCACTCCAGCTGCAAGACTAAAATTGGATGTCAGGTTCCTGGGCCTTGTAATGCTTAGCAAGACGTTAAGACCATGCTGCAATAAACCATGATTTACAATTACATAACTTGCATCACCCAACAGAAACATAACTTGAAATGAGTTTGTAACGCGGGGCGAGCTGTCTAAGGCGCCAGGCTAGTAATCCAGCAAGCTTGGAGGTGCCGGGGATCGAGCCCACCTGTGACCAGGTGCAAAAACCTTGGAGTCAACTTTGTATGCAGACTCTTTCAGTGTTGTCACAACCTCTAGTGTACAGTACACAACCCTGTGCACTTAAAAGAACCCACGAATCCATTGGTAGATGACCAGATGGTGGCCACATGAATACGTGCAAACACCTAGTTGCGGGTACAGCAACGTGCAGTAAAGTTGGACAAAGTACTGTGACTATGTGTCCCAGTCCACCCACCTGGGAATGGGTACCCCGTAAGGATGGGAAAGCCACATTAACTCGGTGCGCCGAGTAGGCAGCAAGAGTTGTATGATCCCCAGGGAGTTTAGATTGAAAATACGATGTGCCGTTGTGATGGACATCCAATGATCGAGGAAAAACAAAGCGCCTTTGAGCAGTTGTACTGGATATCAGCCCTATACAAATGTATGTGTGTGTGTGTGTGTGTGTCTGTATGTCTGTATGTATGTAACATGTCCTGTCCACCAAATTTACATGTTTTCTTCATTATATTTCAGTGCTAATTTGAAGCGGAGTTAAAGCATTGAAAACTGGACCAGAATTATTGATATCAAATGCAAATATCCAATGAATACCATGTTTGGAGCTTTACTTTTTGCATGTTTACATGTTTCAGTAGTGTCAGTCTGGTGGACTATCATGAATAGTTGCTCTAGCATTGTCTGGTAATCCATCTACCTAGATACCATGGTAACAAACCAATATCACATTCCCAATAACATATGATATGGAACATAAAGCTGGCCTTCATGATACCTGACAACCATAGAAACATGGAACTATATTTGGGATCTTTGTGATAATTGAAGGTCAAAGTATATGTTCAATAGCTGAAATGGTGTTATACTTACAATATTCCTCACCAGTTCATCAACATTTATCCCAAGATAGTCTAGCACAACCAGTAGAATGTTTTGCAAGTCTTCTATGACATCCATGAGTCTTCTATGAGTCTTGCATCATATGTCAATAATCAGCAAAGTTTGGACATTTTCTGAAACATACCAAAGGTTAATCATGTCTAAATAGATCTGTATGTAACTGAAGTGTGGGAAAAAAGGAGAAATATTGTTTGGTTAGCTCTAAACAGAGAGCATAAACTAACTCTGCTCTAAACATCTAATGTAACATCATCAATGACAATGACCATCGTTTCAATAGGTAAATTTGTAAATATATGCGAGGTTGTCAGGTTTAGTTCAATGCTTTCAGGCGCATTTAGAGGTTTGAACAGAGACCGGTTTGAAGAACACGAATACATGACATTTGTTGTCTAGTTAAATCCGTTTTGAGCTGTTTGAAGACATTTCTGCGTCACTTGATGAATATGCATTTAAGTGCACGAACTATCATTAGCTAAGGCATTAGGCCACGGTATAAATCACCATGCAAATCAATGACATTATAATTTTTATGTGCTAGATTACAAATGCGATGGATACTTCACAGCGGATGGTTATTTTCGTTGAATCTATCGAAACTGAGAAAGGTGTTGCTGGGCCGAATGATATCAACCCCTACAAGGATTACACCTGCTGTCTATTTCAGAAATTGTTATCAAAATGGTGTTTAAATTTCATATTTTTCCTGCATGAGTTTCTTCTTTCAAACGTACCTCCATTCGTAGTGTGGACCCAATCGTTTATCACTTCCGGCTGAACTAATTCAAATGTTGTAATGGAAAATGAAACGAAAAACTAACATTTACGTTAAAGGACAAATTGTCTTGCTCGTGATATAGACAATTATTTTAAGTTCAAAGGACTGTTTATGACTGTATCTATCAATATATATGGAAATAAATATTCTTTAAATGTACTTTTCGCGAAGAAATATATGATGAAATATCGTTGTTCGACATGACGCTCTAAACTTTGACAAAAATACGATCAAAACAAATTTATCCAATCAGCACGCGTTTCTGAATGTAAACGATCCAATCAAACAGCAGTATACTGAAGAGGCAAATTCAACCTTCGTGTGCTTGTGTTTATTTCTTTTCCAAAGGCAATTTGAAATTATTTTTGTGGTAAGATGCATTGTGTATATTTGATTAATATGTATTCACTGACGACACTTACGCTCATGATCAATAAATATATGTTTGGTGTTGAAGAAAAGAAATCGCGGTTCAGTTTACAATGATACATGATTTATCCCCAACATTGCTCAACATTATCATCGAGGATACTGTTTAGATTATGATGAAACGTATTACCATTGCCTTCAACGCACTTGCTAAACAAAGCAAGAAGAGACAGTCAATTGTATCTTCTTGTGAACAGGTCCGTTACAACCGAAATGTCAGCAAGATTTACAGGCATTATGATTTTATGTAAATCGGTTGCATCCACGAATCAAGGTTAGGCTACTCCACTTCATGAACTTATATGTGGATGATTGTGTGAATAATGACTGCAGATAATGTGTCTGCATGCACAGGAATGTTCTACTTCAATTTCAGATTTTTTTGTAGCCAGGTACCGTGTCAGATAAATTTCAAGATGGTTACAACTGATGCTATCAGTGCCATGAAGGCACTGGCCACTGATCCAACGAAAAGAGCAGCACTTGCAAAGGTTTGTGTGTATCTGGACCTACCTGCATGTCATTACCTTCAAATTGTAAGAATGAAAAGATCGCACAGTTCAGTTATGAAGTTTCAGCTGAAAAAGCATAACATCAATTTCAACAAACTGTTTTATGTAATAAGTTCAGGATTACCGCCGATTTCTCTAATAGTGCTAATAACAAAGAAACAATAGGCTCAGTTTCACACAATGCACCTGTTACAATGGAAATGCATGACCATGAATAAATAGCTGGCCTTGGTTCATGACTACATGGTGTTTTAAACCTAATCAAACCTAATTCACTGAACCATTTTATGAATTATTATAACTTATGGAACAAGTTGACAGTACAAGTTAAACCTAATTTAACTACAAGTCGTCTTCTTATTGAGTTTCAGTTGCATGTATGGCCTTCTGTGTTATAGGATGCTACATGTGTTGGAGGACTCGTAGTCGTACTCTCAAATTCAGACACGAAAGTTGTAAAATTAGCCCTTGAGGTATGTATAAGAACCATGTACTGTCACATGCATATGTTCAAATATTTTCATGCAGAAATGCTTTTCACCCAATATGGACTCCTCATATTTCGACCAAAGGACATTTAAATCAATGTATATGCCTATTCTCACATCTTCTTGTGCATGAATCACTTTGTCAAGATATACTGTGTATATATAAGTTATTTTAACTTGTATAACTTATCAAAATACCCTCATATTATCATCATAATTACATAGCTGCATTTTTTCACAAAGATTTTTTGCTGAATCAACTCTGTTGATCTCACTGCTCTGATTTTTTTTACTGATTTCATTAAAGTAATGAGACTGTTTAAGGTATGTTGATCATCGATGGAGTTGATGTTGTAGACATTGCTGTTGCTCGTGGAGAGTGGGGAAAATGTGGCACCACTGAAAGACTTCATGGGTATGCTGGACCAGCTAGAGGCGCTCATGAACAGGTCATTGTGAAAACATTGTCCACTTTTAACCTAAAGAGTTGTCTCCACACTAACACTGAGAGTAGAACTATAAAAACAGATTTATGTCTCCAGCAATTTATGGGCAAGTAGATTATCAAACTTATTTGTCAGGACAGTGTGTGTTTTCAGTCCTTGATATTATATCTTGTTGGTTTGGCCACAGTTGAATTTTTACTTTTTCATTTCAAATGTGCCCATTTGAAACTTATGGGAAATTATCATCATTACCATAATTTCCATTGTTTCCATACTTGTTCTTTCACCAAATATTCTTTGATATTTGAAAACCTGCCTATTCTTATGTTCCAAATGATAATGTTCACATGATAAGGGCAGCATTTTTTATTATGTGTTTTGCTTAGCCACCATGATCTAAAGTTTGGTTAGTCGGTCAGTTTAAAACAGAAAATAGGAATCTAAAAATATCTACATCAGAAAAGAAGACAAAAGCTTCTACTTTGATTCTGATGTATTTTTTACTGTTTTGGAGTGCCTATGGTAAATCTGCATGTGATAAAGGAGAAAGACCTCTGCTGCTGTTGACTTTCCCAGATAGCTGGAGATAGCACTTGGATAAGATATTACAATTGCTACACAAGTGCTTGTTAGATAACATTTGTCCTACAATTGTTTCAAAATATGTCTAATGACTGAACACACACACACACACACACACACACACAGACAGAACCTGAAACTTTAAACTTTTATTTACTTGTGTTGATATACTTGACTGCATAAGACCCAAGGGTAACATTCTCTATGTATGTACAGGAGCGATGGAGAGCCTGAGTTAAGGGAACTGACAGAAAAGCTGTACCTCATCCTGACAGAGGTGGAACAACAGACTCCACTCCGAGACACCAGCAACATTCACTCATCAAGGTGGGAAAGGGAGGGTTACCTGTAGATCTCTGGCATTAATTCTCTTTGAACCTAGTATTCATATTTCTTCATATTCATCACATTACTTTTTCGCTTTTTCGGAATTTAACATGTATTTAAAATCTATACAAACTATTAGCAACAAAACTAAAGATAAGTATGTACAAATCTTACCTCTGCATTGACAACCCTGCTGGTTTGTAGAAGAACATATTGGTTTCTTTGTGTGTTTGGGGCAGTTTGATAACCTAGTGGTTAAAGCCTTATATCATCATGGTAAGGGCTATGTGTGATACCTCACACAAGTACAATATGTGAAGCCCCTTTCTTGTGCTCCTTGGTGATATTACTGGAATATTACTCTGGGAGGTTAAATCTGCCCTCAACTGTCCTATTGAAATGTTTGCTACAAACTACAATGAAAGTTCACCATTTGCTGCTACTTCTAATGATGTAAAGACGTCGTGGTTACTGTACTTGTAGAAGAAACAGCAGCAGCTGCAGCAAGAAGAGCAACAAGAGTCTCAGCTACCATAGCCACAAACACAAGTCCGTCATCCTGCAACTCAGGGGCATCACAGACAGGGTCAGTATTCAGCATTGTACTAATGTACTGTTTGCCTCATGACTACATAAGTAAACACAGTACCAGAAGTAAATCTAAACTGAATGGTTGGTTGGTGGATAGTTTTTGTAGCAAACAGTAAAGTAACATCATATTATAAATCTTTTGCCATGTTTACTAGCTTGTACAACGATAATGAATAATGACACCCACTGAAAAGCCTGAAATTGTTCATATTCTTTCTATTTTACCTCAACACAACAAACTGACTGGGGCTTGTGGCTTGTGTGTGTGTATTCTCCCATGATGGCCAATTACTCTTCTTATGCCCCAGATATCTATACAGAGATGCATGTGAAGCCCATTTCTGGTGTCCCCCGCCGTGATGTTGCTGGAATATTGCTAAAAGCGGCGTAAAACCAAACTTAGTCAGTCAGTCAGTATACAGAGATGCCAACCCATACGATTTTATCGTATTTGTTATGAGAAATCAACACAAAATATGCGACTATGCTAGCAGTAAAAATATACAATTTATAAAAAAATATACATTAAATTAAATTATCAAATAGCACATGTACCACATTCTATTCAGTATCAAGCTGTATGTGGATACTTTCTGCTGATTTAGGGAAGGACAATGTTAATAACAAGTTCTTAGAAAATCTATTTTTATTATTAAATGTAAAAATTCTTTGTAAAACTTAATACTAATTTTGACCCCAAAATACTAATTTTTGCATTACTTTTTGGCTAAAACACTAATTGGCCTAAATTGGGGTTTGCATCTCTGTCTATATGTCTTACCTTACTGTAGGGGTGGTAGGGTAGCCTAGTGGTTAAACCGTTCGCTTATGATGCCGAAGACCCGGGTTCAATTCCCCATATGGGTACGATGTGTGAAGCCCATTTCTGGTGTCCCCCTTCGGATATTGCTGGAATGTTGCTAAAAGTGGCGTAAAACCAAACTCACTCTTACCTTACTGTAATAGTTTTTGTTCCGGATTTGTACGTAAATTGTTGGTGCTTTTATGGTTTTGTGTGTTCACTTGTTGCCAGAGTGACCGGGAGTTGTGCATGAAGCTGCTGCTGCAGGTGAAGGGGGTCATCAGCATCACATTCGACATGAACAAGAAGAGAAGCATACTGCGGGTCAAGAACGACGTCAAACCTGAGGTTAGTTGCACTGTGGTGGAGAATGTCAGTTGGAGAATGTAGATGACATGCACATAGATAGAAGGAATATGGGAAATTGCTTTCAATTACTTGGAGCTTTCAAACAGTCTTCGATTAATGTCAGTTACTCTGCACATCTCTGTTTGCCCATGCAGAAGTATGATTTGAATGTTGTTTCGAGTTTTGAAACTAATAGAGTATTTCAATCGAATCTCTGGTTTCATGATAAAATGGCATGTCCGTGTGAAGGAGAATGTTCCCGAATGCAACACAGCAGTATTTGTGAATTTATCATGTCTGTCAGCAGGGAGTGAGAAGTGTCTGTTTTTAGTGTTAATTGAACCCCCAAACAAAATACCTTAGCTGGGGGAAGCTTTTTGGTATCATAAGTCGTCATTGTTTGTGTTCCCCCGTGGGTATAATGTGTGAAGCCCATTTCTGGTGATATTGCTGGAATATTTGCAAAAAGCCGTGTAAAACTAAACTCACTCACTCATTGTTTGTAACCTAGTGGTTCATGGATTATGAGTTCTACACATTTTGGTGTTGTGCCCCAACTAGCCCAGTGGGGAGTTGTAGTTGGGGGCAGTGATAGTGTTGTGGACCCTGCTTACAGGCTAATGCTGTGAGGAGCTTGTGTCCGGAACATCTCCGTTTGAATCCCATATATGCCATGATCCTGGGTCTGTAATGGTGAATGTTCATGAGCTGTCTTTCCTCCGTGATGAAACTGACAGTCATGTGACTCAAATGTCCCGGGTGATTGTTGTTTAATGCCACATAGCCTTCAGTGTCTTTAATGTTTCAGAGCCTGGTGCAGGCTGTAGCCAGGTCGCAGACCATGGCAGCCCAGCAGGTGGTCCGAGACGACAATGGAGAGGAGGTGAGGAGGCCATGTGTTGGTGCTGCTTCTGCAGGAACTTGTATAGAACTCATTCATACGTGATAGTTTTGTGGATAGGCAGTTGAAAACTGAAGGAAAATATAAATAAACTTTGCAACATGATGCAGGTGTCTTAGACAGGTAGGTCCTTGAATTATTATCTGTTGTGCATGGCAATTGGAAAGGTGTGAATCTACAGAATGGATTTTCTTATGTAATGGAAGCTGAAGTACTGTTCTAATATCCAAAATATTAACGTTATTGCTACATTTCACACTGTTTCACAAGTACCTCTACCTGTATTTCTGTCAATCGAGGAGTTGTATATGTTTTAAAATGTTTATAGAATGTACCGGTAAATGAACTTCTTTTTAATTCAGCTTTTCCTGTCATTCCGATCCCTTATGGAAGATGCTGAGAAGGAGAACTCTGACATGCCCAGTTACCTTGCTGACGATGCAGACAGTCCCGTGATAGATGACAAGGCCATCTCTCGCACTGCACGTGAAGAGAAGAAGGGGGGCGGCTGGCTGAGTTCTGCAGCAAGCTTTCTCACTAACTCATTCTACTGGTGATGATGTATTTTACAGTTGGATAAATGGCGAGTGGATGATGCTATGTGGATATCGCAGCCAAATGGTGCTTTTAATGACAGCACATGAGTGAAAGAGGGCCATGCCTGGCGAGATAATTCTTATATAGATGTATGCCATTTCACTAGTAAGCAGTAACTAGTCAACTGCCATGGACGTCCCAGGCTTGCAGTATGTATGTGTGGGGGTCCAGGTCATCCTTGGAGGCAATCAGGCATACTTGACGTCTGCTGCATCCTGTGTATACTTGACGTCTGCTACATCCTGTGTTTCATGACTAATGAAAATGTGGTGCACAGTTACTGGATTAACAATTTTCTGCTTTGTGAATCGCAAGGAGTCCTATATATTTGTAAATTGGCATCCCTGACAAAATAGTCAAGAAAGCAAGATTTATGGAATAACCAAGGTTCACTGTACTGGTAGGGAGTTTGTGAGTGATGTGTTTAACCACACATGTACTTCTAGTAACAACCAGGATAAAAACTGTGGCTGTCGACTTGTGTGTTTTGAAGAATGAACAAACCATGTTGTTTTTAGACTTTTTACTGTTTTTAGGATTGTCCATTGTGAGAATGAGATGAATGCGCCACCCAATTAAATCTTGGCTTTGTTATCTGGTGTTAGTACTGACTAAGTACTGAAGCATGCTAATTGTGAAATTATTTCCCCAAATTGCACATTTTCATAAAGCCCATACTCTTTGGATCCAATATCTGTCGCTAGATTTCAAAGCCTGGATTTTATGGAGAATTATGACATGACGCTCCTGACAAACAAGTTTAATGTGTTGCTGGGCATCCTGGAAGCTATTTTATCCCTTACGAACCACATTGATATTGTGCCTACCTTTCATCACAACTCACATGCGGGGCGTTGGGGTAGCCTAGTGGTTAAAGCGTGGGCTTGTCACGACAAAGACCCAGGTTTGAATCCCCACATGGGTACATTGTGTGAAGCCCATTTCTGGTGTCTCTCTCTCTCACTCCCCCATATGATGTTGCTGGAATATTGCTAAAAGCAGCGTAAAACCAAACTCAGTCAGTCAGTCACAACTCACATGCATCACACTTACATACTATACCAACACAGCACCCAGCTGACCAGCAAGCATTGATACTGATAACACAACTGTACAGAAGAACATTAAACTATATTATGCATATATGTTGTTCTGTTTTCATTTTCAACAAACCTAATTTAGACTCTTCTGTAAAGTCATACCCGTGAAGATCCAGGTTAGAATTGGTCTTTAGTAACCCATGCTTGTCGTAAGAGGCTACTATCCCTGACTTGGTTGACACATGTCATCGTATCCTGATTCCGCAGATCGATGCTTATGCTGTTGATCACTGGATTGTCTGGTCCAGACTCGATTATTCACAGACTGCTGCCATATAGCTGGAATATTGGTGAGTGTGGCGTAAAACTAAACTCACTCACTCACTCTGTAAAGTAAGATTCTGTGTCTTTGTTGATATTATATCTTTGAGTCTGGGTCGTTGATCACTACATGGTTGACTAGATTTTCTGGTCTACACTTGAGCTGTAATCCCGCATGTAACATATTTGATCAATTCCTATTGTGACTTCTACTAAACATTTGACTTACCTTTGCATGTGTTTATGATTTCGTGAACATGGTATTACTACTGTTTGATGGTGATTGATAAACACTTGCTTCTCATATAGTTGAAATGGTACCATTAGTCTACTCTGATTTCTTATGTCAATGGAAGTTGTTCCCATTGCTGGTTTGTATTACTTCAACTGAATGCATTGTCTTTGCCTTTATAAGTCATTACATGTTTGGAGTAAACAGTTTTAAGAAATGTTTAGTACAAATTGTTACGGTACTCATACTTGAATATTGTCAGCCAAACGCTGGGCGCGTATGTTGCAAGTCCTATGATGGGATTAGAACCTTCTGATCCAAGGTCGGACGCCTAGTCCATCTGACCAAAGAAATTAACCCAGTCACTAAGCTGACATTGTAAGGATGTCATGTACGGAATGACTCCATGCATTGCTAAAAACAAGACTACAGTTTGCATAGAAAGAGGCTGCCATGGTAAATGAGATGATACATTGAAAACAATCAACGAATTATTAAAGAAAAGACCCAAATAGTGTGACTGACATCAAAGAACCATCGGCAGTACATCGACGGCTTGTTTTTAGCATTGCGTTCATGAAATGTGAAATGGCGTTGAAAGTTGCGTTCACAATTACTTCGCTCATAAAGTATAGTTCCGGTCGTATCCCAGTTCTGGGTGCCGTTGTACAAAACAGCCTGGTTCACTGTCAGTGTCGGAGCGTTAGTGCAACTTTAGCGTTACCACTGTCGTAAGTCTGTGTGTTACGTTATGGGAATTACGATCACATAAATTAGCGCTAAGATCACTTTGTAAAAGGATACCCTAGTCACTACAAACGCGTGTATATGTGTGTGGCTGCTTGTATCAGTCGTGCATTATTAGTTTTAGCGCATCAACACACTAGTCACAGATGCCGAGCAAGGTAAAACTATAAAAAAAATATAGTACTTTCTTTTAACGTCTTTCGAAAAGTCGTAGCCGGGGATCGAACCTCGACCTTCCGCCCTCCTGGCAGGCGTTCTTATCCATGTGCTTGACCATTGAGATGGTGTCTATATGCTTATAAAACTGGCACTCAAACGTCACACTTATTACGCAAAACCTCCTCGTCAAAAACAGTTTATAGTTGCGTAATATGAAGCCACCACTCCCGTATTATTGTCAGTGAGAAAATTCGTAAAATACTGCATGATTAACATTCCGAAAACTACATCAGAACAAACTTGATATCATATCATTATCCATGGTCCATCTTCTATAGAAACTACTATAGATTACGCATAAGTGCCATGTAGAATAATCTCTATCCTGAAAATGGAACACATTATACCCACGCGGGGAATCGCACCTGGGTTTTCTGCGTGACGAGCGAACACATCAACCACTGAGCTATCCCACTGACCCTTCAACTTTGAGGAAGCCCCAGCACTTTCATGGCAGGGGATACAATGATGGATTTCACATATTCTACCCATTTGGGGAATCGAACCCAGTCCTATCGAACATTTTAACCACTCAGCTATCCTCTAATTAACAACTGCAATATAAGAGCAGTAATTACAATATTTCAAACATATATTCTTCTCGTGCGTTTATTTTCCTGGTATAAGCGGAAGCGACATGTTATGCTCCGCTATCAGGGCCTGAGAGGCTGTCAGGGCGAAGAACGTGTAGCCCCGGCCGCACTCGATGAGGCCTTGCAGCAGCTCGTCAGGTAGGTAGGACGCCCCGGCTACATCCCGAGCCCAGTCCACCCAGTTGGTCCGCCCGCCAACACTGGTGTCGTGAGTCGCCTCCAGCACTGGGTAGTTGTCACGAACGTAACTATAAAGAAAGGCGACTTGGTACCGTACTGTAAACCAGCGTGTATAATTCTTATATGCATATAGCACAGTTTCCCGTAGGAGCAGTGTGTGTGTGTGTGTGTGTGTGTGTGTGTGTGTGTGTGTGTGTGTGTGTGTGTGTGTGTGTGTGTGTGTGAAGTATCGATTTATTCGAAAACTATCTTACATGTTGTTGCATATGTGTAATGTCTTGAAGCAACCTTCATTCAAGTCTGATATACGTCTTGTAAGTAATTTTCTTTGTCTGCTAGTCCTATTTCTACGAAGGGCATCATTCAATCAAAAGTTGCCTTACTTACAAACATGCTATCTGACATGGTTAAAAACGAATAAGAGCAGTGTTCCCTTGCCATAAAGATTCGACATCTTTGAATGTCGGTTTCGAATAGGAGAATGTCACCTGTATCTCAACAAACATACAGAAAGTGTAACATTGGTGGTATACTAAATACGACGTTCTTTGGTTTCCAGGAACCAGATCTCTTTACTTATGATACTTTTATGTCGGGCTAGTCTCATTGATCTTTCTCAATTTGACGATAATAACTGGGGATACACAATGCAATTTTGTTTCATACCACTATAATACGGTTAATGCTAAGTTCTTTGATGATACAAGAAGAGGCAAAAATAATATTTAAAAAATAATAATAATAAATAAATGGAAAAATGTTTTCTGATGTATGCTTTAGGTATCATATAAATAAAAAACAGATCACAATAGGTTGTCAGTTATTGTCACTGATTAAACGTCGTCCAGCTCACATGAAACAATCGCTTGTCATGGTGAAGGTCCTCTGTATATCAATATATCGTTTTCACGACAAAAAAAAGAGATAAAAACGCATCGCTTTCAGAGCCCAAAAAATCATGTTGGTCTGTTTGGCCGCCACAGGCTCTCCCACGTGGTTGCGATTTCCCCCCGACATTTTCAGTATGTTTGGCCGTACTTGATTCCATCCGTACAAGTCACTCTCGACACTCGCAGAATGAACATCTGGTTTTCATTTTGTATGAATATTAGCAAAACACCATCGATTGTTTTTCTATTTTTGCGGGGTTTTTTCTGCAGAGGATAAGTTGTACCTTGACAGATAGGAACATCCCTCTTTTTCGTGTCACATATTACATTAACTATAAAGCCAATGGGGCACAAGTCATTGCACAACACGTTACAGTTGAAATGTAAAACCATTAACTTACTGAGCCATGTACAGGCATCCCTTATGCACCACATACGACAGGGCCCCGCGTCTTGCGTCGTGTCTGTCACAAACAGAGACAACATTGCAGGTCATGCACAGACAGAGAGACAGCTGTTACACTTTACGCCAAGAAACGTCAACTGTTCTTAAGAACCAAAGTAATTAAAACATAAAACAATCAGGATGATTGAAACTGAAGCTCATTTACCTCTGTGACGCCACGAAAGGCAACAGTGTGATTAACCCAATAGCCCAAAGCAATCGCGTCGCCATTTTGGTCCCGTCTGTCGTTTCACACCAACTACTTCCTATTCCGTCATAGATTGTGCTGGTATGTTATATGATTCCCCTACTTAGACTAGTGACACAGAAGAGTTGATGATTTCCCGAGGTGCATAAGACGTTATCGCCGTCAACTGAAGGGTTCCGTGAATTTCGAAATCCATCAAACTGTTTCCAGTCTCTTGCCACTCTTGAACCCCGAAAACCAATTAACACAAATAAGGACAAAAAGAAAGGTTCGCTTTGAAGTTTAATTACTGAAGAAAAATTGACACACACACTAACTCGGCGCGCAAAAGTCGAAGTATACTAGCCACATAAAGAAACTGTGCATTGTCAAAATATTTTCCCAGGTGATATGTACGATAACAATGTCAAAGGTATATATAAACTTTAATGGAGGGATCATGAGACCATAACAAGTCGGGAGAATTTCAATTGAAAACATGCTCTATCGGGGAGAGATCCGGTGAATTTGCAGGCCAAGGCAGTAAGTCAACGTTGTGGTGTTGCAAGAAATCCACAGCTACCCTTGCCGTATGAGGGCGGGCATTGTCCTGTTGGAATGTTAACCCAGAAAAGAAATTGCCACAGGTCGAAGAATCTGATCCCTGTAGCCCACTCCAGTTAAGTTGCCCTGAACAATCACCAAAGGAGTTCTTTGGCGTGCTGTTATTTCACCCCAAATCATCACGAAACCACCACCAAAGCGATTCCTCTCCAAGACACAGGCCTGTGCATAACGTTCTCCCACGCGTCGATAGGCACGTTGACGTCCATCACTATGGGAAATGTTGGACTCATCTGTAAAAACAACATTTCTCCACCAAAACAAGGGTCTGCGGACATGATTTCGGCACCACATTCGGCGAGCTTGTCGATGACGTTGTGTCAGGATAGGCCGTATGGCGGGACGTCGTGGTCTGATCCCGTGATGACATAAATGTTGTCGAACTGTATTGGGGTGGATACGGCGAAGTCCTGGGATGGTTCGGGCAGTCATCACTGCAGTCTGAAACCTGTGGTGAAGTTGGGTCACCCTTATCCATCTGTCCTGTCTTGGCGTTGTTACACGTGGACGTCCAGAACGTGGCCGGTCGATGACGTCATTTGTGTTCTGTTAGCGTCTCACCAGTGCAGAAATGGTGTTCCGGTAGCAGTGGAAATGTGCAGCCACTTGTCGTTGAGACATTCCCCCACGGACCATCCCAATGGCTTCATGACGTTGTGCAGACGTGAGCCTTGGCATGCTATGCGTTTCAATAGCCGTTTAATTTTTTAAACGATCGCAAGGGCAGGGGTTGAGCTTTCCAAAGTGACAGTATTGGATGGCATTTATTTGCTCTGTTTCTCTTTCCCGGAATGCACGTGCAACAACGTATTGCACGTCTCTAGGACGAACCCACCGACGTCACGGAAAGTGGCACGTGCATGCATATTGGATACATGTCACTAATCTATGAGTTTAAATCCTTATGTGTCCACACAGGTTTGATAAATTTAGATTTTCAATTTTTGTATGCACAGTTTCTTTATGTGCCTAGTATAGAAGTGGTAGTCGTATTAAGTAGTTGTGGTGATTATAATAGTAGTAGTAGTAGTAGTAGCAGCAGCAGCAGCAGTATTAGTAGTAGAACACGAAGGACTACTAGTACTACTCCAACAGCTACTGCTACTACTACTACTACTACAACTACTGTTGCTGCTGCTACTACTACAACTACTACTACTACCGCACCGAGAGGCTACTGGTAGCTTTAACTTGTGTCAAATTAGCAAATTCCTTTCAATTTCTCTATTCGAAGATTTAAAACTGTTAGAACTCATATATTAATATCAAATAGATCATTAATACAAAGATCTTCATAGTTCCTAGTGCGAACAAAGAACAAATATTCATTTTAGATTTCATTTATTTCCATTGTTATGATTTCCCCTTGTTCCTGTAATAAATCATTTACAGAAACAATGAATCGACACTTGACCAGGAACATTCGTTGTGAATTTCCCCTTAGCACCTTCTGTACACTTTATGAGTGAAGACATTGAATTAGGGCTGGGATGGGTCCAAATGTTCTACCGGGTACCCCACACCCTATTACCCTTTGGACAGAAAATGCATCATTTCAAGATTTGGCGTTTCAGTTTTCAAATCTGTGAACGGATATTATTTGATGCATTTAAAAAAAACCTCTGTACAAAAGTATTGTCCCACATGCTCTCCACATGAACATACTTGTGGAGTTCTGTACACATTGTTCTTGCCATTCGTAGTTGGCAAAAACAAGTTTGTTTGTTTGTTAATTTGTTTCTAGTATATCATCAAGATCTTTGTGTAAAAGTGATACCTAAAAGATTAAAGTCGCTTTGGTCCCAATTAAGATTGAGTTGGGGGCATAGTTTTATTTTTGATCGTTTCTTTGATCCAATCCATATGAGACGCGTTTTTTCAGTGTTAACGTTTAGACCTGAGAATCTGGCAAGGAAGTTCAGTACATTAAACACAGCAAAGAGACATTGTTCAGAGCCATCTAAGATGCATGTTGTATCATCTGCAAATTGATTAAGTAGAAATTCTATATTACCTATTGTTATCCCTTTGATGTTATTATTATTTTTCAACATTATAGCAAGTATTTCAGCACATAAGATGAATATGTAAGGAGAGAGTGGATCCCCCTGACGACATCATCTTTGTATATCAAACATAGGCGAACCATAGCCATTTACCAGTACATTTGATTCTATGCCGTAGTATAACGTCTTGATCCACAAGCGTAATGATTGTCCAAAGTTAAAGAAAGCGAGTAGTCTTAGCAAAAAAGCCCAAGTTGATTCTTACTTGAAAACGATGCAAGAACCTGTATCGAAACGTCGTGCTCTAGAATAAAAGAAGTTGTCTTCCATATATACTTGTTCTATCTGACTTCCAACTTCTAAAATGCCACTCAAAGAAGTCAAGTTGACCGTTGATGACGGTGATGTTCTTTGAAATACATATTGGTAGCAGACGACCAAATACACCATTTTGGTGTTTTAAATTAATTGCTTCAGATATTGCACATGGAATTTTATAACATGTACTGAGGGGCAGGTAATACCAAACTATAGCAAACTTTTAAAATTGTAACTCTTGAAGTTCCGACTCAGTGTATTGTTCACGAATGGTTTAAAACACGTCTCCCAAACGCAATTTTTGTTGAACCTCGTATCACTCCATTTCATGTGTCTAGTTCCTGGGTGGCATAGCAGTAATTATTTTTGACATCTTACTTACTTGCTTTTGCTATTCATTACGAACTTACATAGCTCTATCATACACTGGGTGTGTCTCTCTGTGTCTGTCTATGCCCCTGGGTGTGTCTGTCTCTCTGTGTCCCTGAGTGTCCGCCAGTTCCTCTGCCTATGCCCCTGGGTGTGTCTATCTTTCTGTCTATGCCCCTGGGTGTGTCTGTCTCTCTGTGTCCGTGAGTGTCCGCCAGTTCCTCTGCCTATGCCCCTGGGTGTGTCTATCTTTCTGTCTATGCCCCTGGGTGTGTCTGTCTCTCTATGCCCCTGGGTGTGTCTATCATTCTGTCTATGCCCCTGGGTGTGTCTGTCTCTCTGTGTCCCTGAGTGTCCGCCAGTTCCTCTGCCTATGCCCCTGAATGTGTCTATCATTCTGTCTATGCCCCTGGGTGTGTCTGTCTCTCTGTGTCCCTGCGCGTCTGCCAGTTCCTCTGCCTTTGCCCCTGGGTGTGTCTATCTTTCTGCCTATGCCCCTGGGTGTGTCTATCATTCTGTCTATGCCCCTGGGTGTGTCTATCATTCTGTCTATGCCCCTGGGTGTGTCTGTCTCTCTGTGTCCCTGAGTGTCCGCCAGTTCCTCTGCCTATGCCCCTGGGTGTGTCTATCGTTCTGTCTATGCCCCTGGGTGTGTCTGTCTCTCTGTGTCCCTGAGTGTCCGCCAGTTCCTCTGCCTATGCCCCTGAATGTGTCTATCATTCTGTCTATGCCCCTGTGTGTGTCTGTCTCTCTGTGTTCCTGCGTGTCTGCCAGTTCCTCTGCCTTTGCCCCTGGGTGTGTCTATCTTTCTGCCTATGCCCCTGGGTGTGTCTGTCATTCTGTCTATGCCCCTGGGTGTGTCTATCATTCTGCCTATACCCCTGGGTGTGTCTATCATTCTGTCTATGCCCCTGGGTGTGTCTATCATTCTGTCTATGCCCCTGGGTGTGTCTGTCTCTCTGTGTCCGTGAGTGTCCGCCAGTTCCTCTGCCTATGCCCCTGGGTGTGTCTATCTTTCTGTCTATGCCCCTGGGTGTGTCTGTCTCTCTGTGTCCCTGAGTGTCCGGCAGTTCCTCTGCCTATGCCCCTGGGTGTGTCTATCTTTCTGTCTATGCCCCTGGGTGTGTCTGTCTCTCTGTGTCCGTGAGTGTCCGCCAGTTCCTCTACCTATGCCCCTGGGTGTGTCTGTCTTTCTGTCTATGCCCCTGGGTGTGTCTGTCTGTGTCCCTGAGTGTTCGCCAGTTCCTCTGCCTATGCCCCTGGGTGTGTCTATCTTTCTGTCTATGCCCCTGGGTGTGTCTGTCTGTGTAAGCGAGTGTCCGCCAGTTCCTCTGCCTATGCCCCTGGGTGTGTGTTTCTTTCTGTCTATGCCCCTGGGTGTGTCTGTCTCTCTGTGTCCCTGAGTGTCTGCCAGTTCCGTCTCACTGTCTGTGGCCATGGGTGTCTACCCGTCTCTCTGTAGTGGCCATGGGTGGATATTTCTATGTGTCCGTCTCTCTGTCTGTGGCCCTGGGTGTCTACCCGTCTCTCTGTCTGTGGCCCTGGGTGGATATTTCTGTGTTCCCTGATGTGTCTGTCACTCTGCCTGTGGGCCCGGGTGAGTCCGCCCATGTCCCTGAGTGTCTGTCAGTTCCTGTGTCTATGCTTCTGGATGTGTCTACCTCTCTGCCTGTGTCCCTGTCTGTCTGTCTCTCGGTCTGTGTCCCTGTCTGTGTCTGTCTGTCTCTCTGTCTGTGTCCCTGTCTGTGTCTGTCTGTGTCCCTGTCTCTCTCTCTCTGTTTGTGTCTCTGTCTGTCTCTCTGTCTGTGTCCCTGTCTGTCTG